TTAACTGTCATTTATTACAGTCACGAAATCAAGGTTTATGTTCATTCAATACAGCTAATGGTTAATGGTTTACCCAATAATAGTTTTGGTTAGATGTTCAAGAATATAGAAAATAATTGTGTTTTATGCTATCTTTGCAGAGCGAGGAGGACGAAGAAGACGAACAGCCATCCAGAGACGAGTTATAAGCGCTTGGGGGCCCGTACACTCTCATGAGACTTCCATAGTATAGTACTGTATAGATTATAATTATTTACTTTTATACTGAAACTAACATGTTTGCATTTCACTTGCTAGACTGTTGACTTGTTCTCTAAATTGTTTTAAGGGTTGTACTTGAACGAAGTAAGTTAATAGTACGTATTGTTTGATATTTAATTACCTAATACTCTGTCTGTTTGTTCACTCGTACCGTCAGAGCGGCCGGATCTCGTGCAAGTGCCCAGTGAAATTAATTTATTTTCTAAAAGCATAATTTATTTTGCATAAACAGCAGCATAACGATAGTTTATGTATAATAAATAAATATTACTGTATTTATAATTTCTGTATCATAATGGTATAATGTTTTCACATTCCTTAGTACAAGTTTTAGTTACATCGAACAAGTGTTTTGTTGAAGAAGCATTGGCGATATTTTTATATTTTACTTGTACAATAATTCATCACAACAAGTATAATTACTTAAGCAGGATCTTAAGCCGTTAAGTTGTATTTTTGTAGCGTTTTTTTATTAAAATTGTTATGTTGAATAGTTCAATCATAAGTACTTGCATTGTCAAATGTATTTAGTGCTATATTCATAATTATAATTGTTATTGATGATCTTGAAAATGTAATTTTCTACGGATATTGGTAATTCTGTCTATACATGTAAATATTCATAAATGTATTTGCCAAATCTGCAATTGTGTATCTATTGTGGATACAGAAATTGATAAATAAATAAAATTAAAACTTACTTTCGATTTTTATTTATAAATACTATAGAGATAAAATTACGAAGTTCAACCGACTTATTTCATCCCTCTTTCTCGTCCGGAAGGTTGACGCTTTAAAACGTCATGGTAGGCCCTCTGTTAAATAAATATCAGTTGAATGGTACAATGCCCTGGACATTGGTGCCCTCCTGAGAAGCTTTTTAAATTATAAACAAACTAGCTACTCTCGCGCGGTTTCACCCGCTGCTCGGCTCCATTTGATGGTAGCGTGATGTTTTATAGCATATGGCACGTAGGAACATTGTAGCTATCAACCAGTGAAAGAATTTTCACACATTTGGCAATCCGACCAGCGGTTCCAAAGATTACCACCTACATACAAACTTACAAATTTTACCTCTTTATAATATTAGTATAGATATCTTTACAAATCTCAGATAATCTTATTATTGCCTTTTTTGCCAACAATGCTTGAAAATTTTGCAATATTTTTTATAAGTAGAGGTCCAAACAGTAATTCCGTAACATTGTAGACCTTTATCATATGTGTAGACCTGGTCTACTAGAAAATCCTAAGACAACTACACACAAAAACGAAATATTTAGGACCCCTAGAGTCAATCTTTAACCATTCTAACGATAGCAATCTGAGTGAGATATTACAACTGGATACTCCGTTTTGATATACATTGATAGCCTTTCTTTTTTGTGCACTTTGAAAACAATTTGAGTGGGCACCTATATACCTCGCCAGAGGGAGTTGCAGACTCTTACTGACTTAAATCCACCCGTCCCGTCTCCTGTTACAGACTGCGGAACATTACAAATTGCATTTGAGTATTCAATAGTTAAAAAAGCTTTGAAGCGCCTACTGAACTCGTTCAGGTCGGCCTGTCAGTTCCCCTCGTTCCGCATCATGGTCTCGACTAAGGCCGGTCGCCCGATTACTTCCATGAGGACTATTAATAACTATTAAGAATATAATCGGGATTAGACTCACGCATTCGTGAGTTTGTAATTCATAGGTTGCAGCAGCTGACCGCATCCCCGCTCGCAGAAATATGAATATTATGATCAATGTATGATGGAAACATCTCTGTAAATGAAGCCTTAGAGGTATGACAGACGTGAACGGGCCTGCGGACAGCCAGCAACGGTAGCTCGCCGCAAGACCAGAATCAGACCTGTTTCTTCGTTCTTCTCCATTCGAATCTACTATCTAGACTCAGTATCTAGACTGAGCTTATTATTCAATTTTGACGTTTCAAAAATACCTGTTTATGGTTTTCTTGGCACCGCGGCCCCGGCCTAGAGCAGAAGGAATGGGCCCCCCATTCCTGTTTGTATGTGTGTAAGTAAAAGTCGTTTGATGTGTTTCGCCGTGTGAGTGAGGTTACCGAAGGCCCAATCCCTGCCTCTCTCCCCAGCCCTTTCCAATCCGAATTGAATATCCGAAACCGTCATCCCCAAAAGGACCGTAAGGCACTTGACTCTGCAACACTAATGTTGCGGGTGTCCATGGGCGGCGCTGATTGCTTACCATTAGGTAATCCGTCTCGTTCGCCGACCTATACCATAAAAATAAGTATACTTTTTAATTTAGCATTTACTTTCATCAGTTATAAGAACCATCTACATATAATTAGCATCTGTGTGCGGTTTCAATCGCCTTAGCGGGTTGAAAAGTAGCCTATGCGTATATTATGCCAGACTATTTTCATTTACATTCACATGATTTAATTTTAATGAAAGAATTAGAGTGGTAGATGAAAATGACATGTAAAAAAAGACAAAAATTATGTAGTAATTATTTTTATTATCTTAAATACAACGATTACAACATAAAATAACTCTTTTTTAAATAATTAACATTAAGCTTGTTCTTTTAAATTATCACATTAACACCAAAAGAACATTTAATTGAGACAAATGTGGAATGGCATTGTATTAAAACATTATTGAACGGGTAGCACTTTGGTACATAAAGATTAACTTTTGTTCCTTTAAAGAAATAGTCTATGTTTTAAAAAGATATAATAAAAACAACAATGGATTTAATAATATCTCAACTCGAGACTAGTGGCAAAGTGAATACTTTGCGCTTTTTATATAACAGGTGTACAATACAACCAGTTTTAGTTTCAGTTAAATACCATATAATAATATTATGAAAAACAATGCACCTGTTTGATAGAGTTCCTAGCGGATACGTCATCTTGTTTCCTAATTGCGCTTGCTACTATGAGTCAAACGATTTCATCATATTTAAGGGATAAAAACATTCAAATATGGCTATTGAATGTAAGAGACACATGAGATTATATTATATTGATGAGGACCAGAAGTTGAATTTACTTAAGAACTTTCTTAGGTGCACGCGCTCAGTTACCTGTATACGCGTAGATATAGGAAACATAACACTTTAATTTATCTGTGCGAACTTCATTTCAAGTAATGTAACATAAAAGTAAAACAATAAATACTTTATTTCCGTAATTCCATTCATATTCTACTCCTTACAATTTCAATAAACAACAAAAATAAATCAAAATGCTGTACGACAGGTACTAAATTAAATATACAAATACATCCTCTTGATTAACTCTTAGTAATCTATAAATCTAGTAAATAAAAGTACCACGATATAGTATTATATCAAACAATATTATATATCACAATCTCGACCCTTCGACGATCACTCCAATACATTGAAATCCGAATACATAATTACATAAATAGTAATTCATAGAAAATTTCGAACGCCAGTGGTCTTGTATTAAATGCTCCCGTGGTCTAGTGAAGTCTACATACGTTATAATATATTAAAGAAATCTACCTAATGTTACCTTACTCTAGGGTAATACATAGTCAATGACGCGGCCGCAGTTATGTACTTCACAGTGTTATATACTTTTAATACCACGCTGTTACAAAACCGTTTATACGTATATCCATTGAAGTATTTTAAGTTGAAGAAAACGATTGTCCTACAATACTAAAAGTTAGTTAAACTCCGAACAGTAACAAATATATTAAGTAAGATATTTGATACATTAGTTAGTGGATGAGGTCGATTAGTCAGCTTAAAATATTTCAATTATAACTATAAAAGCCAGGCACCAAACGGCATATCGAATACACGTGAGTTATTGACAATATTACGATAAATTACCGTGTATAAATACGCTTCGATGCAAAAATAACAACTTTGATAAACAACGGATGTCGACAGGCGAGCGAGAGATACAAATACAGATTTATCGCCACATATAAATACATTGTATTGTGAAAAACTATCGCGCACTACTAGTGTTTAAAACTTGCAACTAGTGATGCATTGATAATACAATTTAATCTCAACCTTATAGAATATTATACACATAGTAAGTTTATAATACAATTTAGAATATTAGGCATTTGGGATATTTCTTTGCGTCTTACTAAATGCAGTCGTGTGCAAAGCGTACAGTTATTTTGAACGCCAGTGACTATTTAGTATTTACGGTAAATACTTCAATACAAACTGCGCATATCTCAGAACCGTTCAAGTATTTTTTTATTTACGATATGAGCCATTTATTTATTGCACTCACCCAAATATTTTGCAGATCGTGAATGGCCAACGGATAAGTTTAAATAAAGCTAATACGATGATGCGAGCACTTTTCTACATAGACGAAATTAAGAAAGAAATAAAAATTAATACAATTCATGAGAAAGTAAGTATTAAAAGAAAAAGAAAACATGACAAAAATAAAAGACAACGAAAAGAAAGATATTGACATAGAAAAAATACAAAAGAGAATCAATATACTTTATGAGACAAAAGCGCGCGCATCATCGAAAGGATAAAATATAATTGGTTATTACACTTTCAACTAAACAACCAATCACGTTACATCGAAATTGGCCTTCAGAAAAAAAACTAGGGCATATAGTACGAGATCCAATTGATCAATACCCCTACCTATGAGTTTCAAAAAATATTATTACCGAAACTAGATAGAGATGGCATTTTTTTTAGTCTGGCAAGTATTATTGCTCCTATAGCGGTCACTTCCTGGACCTTGCAAAATTGTCGTCATCGTTACTGAAATGGATACATATTATTGTTGTAAATTGATAGTAGAGGTATAGTTGTTAGAAAATAATGGGTAACATATGTAAGCTAGGGTTCTAGACATGACGATAAACCTGTGTTGTTGGGAGAGGATCAGAGCGCGAACATGGAGTCGTGGTCGTCCTTGTTGATCTGTCGGTGGCGCGGGGTCAGCGCGGCCGGCATGGTGGGCGGGTCGCGGCGCGCGGGGCTGGCGCCGGCCGCGGGGGCTCCGGGGGCTGCGGGGGCGGCGCCCGCCTGCCTCGCCGGCGGGAGACTGTCCGCCGCCGCGGCTCGCTCCGCCAGGAACTTGTCGAAGTCACTGCTTGTCACGCTCTCTTGTCCACCAGCTGCTTCGGATGCAGCCTAGAGATTTTAATATTACATTTTAGGGTTTTACTTAAAAATTAACATGTTGGTTATTCATTTTTTATTTCGACAATCGATTTTCAACTTTAATGTATAATAATTCTGAAGTTGATCTTATTTTGATATTTTTACAAGTACAGGAGTAGATTTATGTGCTCAGTATCTGTAGCTACGTTAAGCATAATTATACAAAACATAGTGTCATCGAATGTAGCGCGGTGGGCTGGCTGACACTACGTATGGGTGCATGTATAGCCCAGACAAAGTTAGTATTCCACATGAGGCCATTAAAAATAATGAATTCAATTATTCGTGAATATTTAAACCTGTAGAAGCAACTAAAAGAATATGTGTAAATAAAAAAGTTTTTAAAAACCCTCTCTAGAAGGAATTATAGTACATGAATAATAATTATCATGATGTATAAGTGCAATTAATAAATATTTACATGTAAGTATAAGAAAGAATAAAATGAAAAATAAATGAAAAAATAAAAAATCATAAAACACACCTTCTCTTGAGCTAACCATGCTGCTATCTCATCGATCTCCCTTTCATCCATGCCCGACGGCTGTCGAATGTTCCAGAATATAATTAACATAAAATAATTGTTATATACAAAACGGAAAAACAAACAAAAAAACGAGTAAATTATTATATTAGCGACTCAAAAAAAAATCTGTAAACACACCTATACATAGAGTAATATTTAAATAAAAATTAAATCAAAACAATAAGAATAAATATAGATCTTTTTTGTTTTAATTTTTTTTTTTCAAACTTAGTCTCGGGCCAATGTTTTTCAACAGGAGGGTTGCAATATCTTTTTAAAGGTTTTTTAAACGGTTTACTTCCCTTAATCAAAAGGTTGGAAACACTATATCGGTATTAAAAACAATAATGAATATAATGAACTAAACAGCAGATTCATCAGTATCAAGAAATCAAAACATAAAAAATGCTTGTGGAAACCTTTTCTATCATGAAGGCAGAGCGGCGACGCATTCAACGTAAGAAATGCAACGCGAAATACTTTTTCATATAAAAGGAGTTGTATTGATAATGGTTAAAAAACACTTGACTAAGCCAAGATATCTATCCTCGTAGGGATCCCCATCACTTTGCATCACACGAAATACTAACAAACAACTAAGTATAATAGTAGAATTCCGTCAGGTTCAATCAAACGCCATAGGAAAAAACAGTAAGAAGTATATATAGGTAATGTAATGTTAGACGACGAAAATCAATTAAATGAACGTCACTAATATAATCTGTGGTCTCGGCAACACTGGCTGCCGTGGTGACGCTGTCGTCTGTCAACTGAGACAGATGAATAAAGTTTTCCCGCGCAAAGAGTGCAACGGGGATTCTGGTGGGAAGTTTGACGAGCATAGAAATAAGTTTCTTATAAGAATTAGTTTTTAATTAAACTTAATTATTTGAGAGTGTGGTGTTTTACTTAAAAGTAGTAATGAGTGAAAGTAGTGTACATACAAGTGGTTGGCCCTGCGTGGCTCGCTGGCTGGCGATGGAGGCCAGCCCAGCCGAGGACTGCTCCTCCAAGTTATCTGCGTAACTACTGCCTCTGTGGAAGGAAATAAAAATGTTGAAAATTATTTTTCTTCCCAATATTACAAATAGATATGTAGATATGCATTACAATACGGCCGACGTATCTTGGCGAGTCTGAAGTTAGCCGTTTGTCTGCGCAATGGATCTTTTAGGAACAAAATTCTGTACTGCGCAGGTAATCGGCTAACTTCAGACTCGCCAAGATACGACGGTCGTACTATACTTAGACCTTTATCGTAGGAAATTTTAAAATCGTGGCGTTAAATAATATTATAAGGGTGAATTATAAGTGAATTTATATGTTCATATTAAAAATAAAATTTACATACCCAGTCTTTGAGTTCTCGTAGGTAAGGTTACGCGATTGTGCGAACATGTCGAACTCGTCCTTCGAGCTGCCCGGGGACTTGTCTGGCTGGGAGTCCCGAACACCTATGAATAGTCACATTGTAAGTGTAAATAGATTTGTTTAATATTTTAAATTACGTAGCATAAACATACAGGGTGTAAGGGACAGCCCTCCACAAATTAACAGGGTGCATTCAGCTCCTTATTCTGAATCATATTCCAGTGAAAATTATTTCAGGAAAATTTTCAATTTTTTTTTCGTTTTTTCAGTTCCTACACCTCTATTTCAATGTATAATTACATTCTATGTATGAAGAATAACATTAATGTAAATAACACAGCTAAAACAAAAAAATACGCAATGGTTGTGTGAATTCTCTAAAGAACTACGCATGAAATCAGCTGTTCAATTTCTACCTAGCGCGAGTCGTTTGAACTCACCGCACCGCGGTCACGGCGCAGCGGCTCGGCGCCCCACCGCGCCGATCGCCGCGCCGCGCGCCGTAGGTATAATACCTACGATCCCGTCCAACGTACAGAATAGCTGCGTCCCTTTCTATCGCCCCGCCTCCGCGTCTCCCCGTCTCCCCGATTCTTTGCACAATGTTTGCCCGATTGAACCAGTGTTGCCAATTTTTAACTTTTGTTACCTCAGGTAGTAAACGAAAATGTTAGAACTAGCGAAATTTATCTAAAACTTGAGAACTCCTTTGCATTCATAATTACGTTGATGAGATTTTCATTAATCAATTAATGAAAATCTTGTCGCGCACATAAATTAAATAAGAAATAAATAAAGATTAGTCTAGTTTTAATTTTAAAGCATTTACAAATACTACCTAATTTATTAATTGATTGTTCTTTTAAGCGATTACTGGCTAGTTTTTAAACTACTTACAGATTTTTACATGGCTTCACAATAGCCATGAATTGATAGTCGAGCCAGAAATTAAACACAATCTCCCTGGAATGGAAGCACAGCTTTCTATCACACTGCACTTTTATTATTCTAAATTAACTAAACAATGAAATTAGAATTAAATTGATTTAATCAATTCATTTCTCTACAAAAAATAACAGAATGATAAATTACGAACATGCATATTTTTTTATTTTTTAGCCCGAAATTTTGTAATTTTCGTGTAATTGGCAACAACAGATTTATGTTTGTGTGTGTCTCATCACATGCAGTCGCCATTGTGCCTTGCTGCGATGTTATTGTTTGTGTACCGCGAGCGTGTGTCGGCACGGATCGCTCGCGCATTCGGCTTAAGTTTTGTTATAAGTAGTGTTGTTAAGTTTTATTAGTTATGTAGTGTGTGAAATGTAGTGAAGTTTTGTTGTAGAAATTGTGCGAAATTACTACCTAGGTACGTTTAGCGCGCGTGATTATGGGGAGATGATAATGTGTTGTAGTAGTGTAGGTATCCTGACCGTCGCCATCCATCAGACGCCAGGATAATTACTGGTGACTATCAACGCTTGCTAGAAAACCAGCCCATTGTTCCCAGACAAAAAGGCGCCGGAAGACCAATACCTACGTGGATTTTGGAATTGGTTCGCTAACGTAACGAGACGCTACCACTTACCAGTGCTTTCCTATTTAAACGTAGTTTAGGTAGGTTTGGACCGCAACCGTGGCCAGCACGATCCCCAGATCTAACCCATTTGGACCCCTTTTTGTGGGGTTACGTAAAAGAAAAAGTGTTTGTGAGTGCGTGTGCAAGTGAGTACGAAATGCGAGACCGCATCACAAATGCTTTCCAGAGCCGGAAACCGGAGCCACAGTATAAATATCATACAGTATTGTAACTCAGCCGCTTGAAAGAAATAAATACCTACAGCCGCGCGGTACGTAAACATGCGTTAGGGCTGCTCGTCTCCAGTATTTTAATTACCTTTGTTTACTTTCTGTTTCCATTTAGTTTTGTGATTGTAAATATCCTTTTTTTTATATAAACAAATAAAGTGCTTTAAAAATAAACAAACAAAATTTCTTTGGCCACTAATGCCGAACTGAACAGCTGACTATAGTTCGTTCCATAATTAGAGACAACGATTTGACATTTCGAGTGTTGCAAGTTTTTTCCATTTCATAAATAGTGAAGTCCCGCGACCGGTATTGACCGAAAGACCGAAATTAAATTCTGGACTTCGTGCATTTTAAAAGCTTTATTATTTTTAGCTACTTTCCCTGGTACCTTCATGTGCCCATACTAACTCATTCGGGTTAAAATCACAATGGTAAGGAGGCAACCGTAAAATACTGAACCACCTTTTAGCAGCCATCAGTCCACGACGTATCGTTCATAATTACTTTTCTATTTCCGGGAAATCTCCAACAGCTCGGCTTTCAGCATAGGTTCCTCAAATATAATGTTTTTCTTTTAGCTAGTCTTGGATTTGGCATTTTTATTTTAAATTATTATTATTAATTCCACTAAACTAAATAAAAACATCACCGCAACGTTGTTTTATTTTGCTCAGGGTATTTTATAAAAAAACGGTATCGGTATTTTATTTAAAACATCGTACTCGGGCCCATCACTATGTTAAAAAATCTGGCCACATTATTTTGTAGTTTGACATTTGCTGTTGTCAAATTGTTGTCTCTAATTATGGAACGAACTATACGAATGTTCTAAAATCACAACCCTCAAACATCAAAATATTACATGAGTCTAGCTGTTTTATTGTTGTTATTAAATATTTTCTAGTATTATTCATAAACGCAGATAATAAACAATTATTATTAATAATAAAATACCACTCTCTACTTTGAATTATACAAACTAACAAAACATACATGAACCGTTTTAACACAAGCGTAAGTAGGTAGGTACCTAACGTATCATGATTCATTCAGAACCAGAACCGCCTATAACTACCTATTTCACTCGTCTCAATAACTTTATTCATATTATTTATAAATTCAAACATCTGTTTTCGTGAGATAACTGGAAATAATGATCCATAAAGACACACATTATGTACCTACCTAGGCTACTAGTAAGTAAAATTATTTTATAGTCTTACCTTTCAGAGTTTCCAGGTAATTTAAAAAAAACTTATGTCTGGATGCGTTATTGACGAATTCATGCAACCAAACATAATAACAGCACAATATTTCCTATTCGTCATATTAAATAATGTACTCGAGCTGATTTCTAAATAAAAGACAACACACCGTCCGTTCGTCACTACGGTACAGCCGCGTCTGTCTGCGTCCCGAGCGTGTCCCGACATCGGGCGCGTAGGTATAGTTCGCGTTTCGGCCGTTTCTATGAAGTTGAAATACTTGTAGATATTATTACCTTGCCGGAGCGCTTCTAAGGTACCTACGCATTTTTCTTATCATTTATCAGTTACCATGTTATGATTGTTAGATTTTCTTTTGTAAGTAATGCGGCTATTTTTTAAATAATAATTTATTGTTATTAAAACGTGGCGCGAGCGCGATTATTACATTGTCTTTTGTAAGTAATGCGGCTATCTTTTAAATAATAATTTATTGTTATTAAAACGTGGCGCGAGCGCGATTATTACATTGTCTTTTGTAAGTAATGCGGCTATCTTTTAAATAATAATTTATTGTTATTAAAACGTGGCGCGAGCGCGACCGTTTGTCCGAAAGGTAAGGTCGCGGCGCTGCCCATAGTGTAAAGTAATAATACTAAAGCTGCCCATAGTGTAAAGTAATAATACTAAAAGCGCTGCCGTTCGCTGCGTGCGTTTGCGGTGGTAGCGATACATTGCGTGTAAGGTAATGAAACAAATCGGTTTAATTGGATTCCCATAACGTTCCTGAAATAATTTCATGTACCGGTCAACTTAAGACGATATACTGAATCCACCCTATCAGTTTGCGGAAGGCTGTCCCTTACACCCTGTATATGTATATTGACATTATAAACATAATTTGACATCAATTCCTTTTTACATCTTGAATTTATACTCTGACTCCTAATTTAATGAAATTAAAAAACAATTAAAAGTGACTATGATGTATTTTGTCTTCTTTGTCATTATCATTAATTACAACTCTCCGTTAAATTAATTATTCTACTTAATTAATCATGTAAGCTTTTTGGATGTAAGTACATGTTAGCTTGTGAGATCATAAATAAATAAATAAATAAATAGAAACGTACAGTTAAATTAATTAAAATAAGGTAATAACATATCGGAACAGAGGTTACTCTACACATTACTTGATAGCCTGGTTGCGCCAACTTTGATCAAAATTATATTTCATAATTAAAATCAGAGACTCAATGGCAATACTTACTCAATTTGGCAATATCAGGTACATCATCGCTGAGATCAATCAGAGCATCGTCATCAGGTTTCTTTGCTGAAATAAACATTTTACAAAGAATTTTGTTAAGACGTTACAACGCTAAAAAATAATAATTGTTTGCGCAAGTTTGCGCCGATGCATCATACAGTTTGCGCAAGTTAAGGAGACCGTAATATAATAAATCAAGTATGTAAAATACTAACGTGATGTAGGGGCATTCGATCCAGGTACTCCCATGGCAGCGCCTAAAATGGCCGATGGCGTAGCACCGCCGGTAGCGGCGTTCCTGTGAAAATAAATTATTGAGTTACTTAGCTTGTTGCGCAGTACTGTGTAAAAGTAGCAAAGTTAATGCGCAAAACAATTGGGAAATCCTTTCAATTATAAACGTTCAGTACGAGGGACGAGCTTAAGATGTAAGCTTTATACTGTCTCGTCAACCAATCTTCTTGAAATCTTCGAAAGTTGAAGAGTAGGGAAAAGGATGTAGACTAATTTAGGCGCAATAATCAAACAATAAAGTTAGCCATACTTTTGAATGTTTGTTATTCTCTCTCGCGTAAAAACTGTTGAATAAACTCTAATGAAACTTGTCACAGAAGCCGATTATAGTCTGGAATGACACATAGGCGACATTTTCAATCAAGATAACGCGGGTGAAGCCGTTGGTTTTTATACACTTTGTCTTCGGTAAGTGACTGACCTGTTGTTAATGAACCGTCCGTGTCTGAGGAGTAGGTTGTTGAGTCGGTCGTTGGCGTGCAGCAGTTCCCCGGTGAGGGGGGACTCGCCCGCCAGCCGCCCAATCAGCTCGGCCACGCGAGTCTGCATGGCGCGCAGCGTGTCTGCCAACTCCTGCAACATTATGAAAAATGAAATTTAATTTTTAACTTCACCATCAGCCTATAAGTACCCACCGCTATGCAAAGGCCTTTAAGGTTTAGTTTTAACTTCTTGACTGCCAGTATAAGGGGCAACAATACTATATACCTAGATTGTGTTTATCTTAGACTTCGGTCCGGATAATAAGAGTTATTAACAGACACGCTTGCCCAAGGTGGATTGGTGATTTAAAACTTATAATTATGAATTATCAGTCCAGATTCCTTCTCATTATCTAAATAGTTCTTATTTTCTATTTTGTGAAAACTCTCTCTTACTTCCTCTTGCCCTATCTAGGGCGGCAGGAGTGATTTAATGATATTTCCCTCTTCAAGAAAATAAAACCGGGGTTACGGAGACAAGCGCAAAAATGTACTGCCCGGCTGGGTGAAGAAAGAACGGTGTGATGATGTCAGTTAAAGCATGGCCGACAAAGGGCGAGAAAAAGCATTTGATAATTTTCCTCCACAAAAAAAAGATATTAATTACCTCTATAAAAGTAAATACAATAAAAAGGCGTCCTTGTATAGCGGTCTTATATTAAAAGTGAAACTAAAACGGAGTCTTTGACCTCTGTAGACTACAAATACAAAGTAATTCGTGAAAACCTTGACTTCATTCATGGTTGATAACTTTATCTGTCATTGGCATTTTATTTATACACGGAGGAGACGACAAAGGTTTCCTTATTTTGTACATTTTATTTAATGAAAAAACCTGCACTATACGGTATTTTGGAACAGGTATAAGAAACGCATTGTATTTTTCTAAATGAGGACATTATGTTCAGTTAAGCAGAAAGGAAAATTGACAAATTAATTTATTTTTATGGAACTATGCTGCGCTATATGGCTTATCTTATAAGTTTTCCATAAACGGATCAATTATCGTCAAATCGTACAAGTGTTTCCTTATTTGAAAAGTTTAAGTAGTAAGTACTAAAGTTTAGTATTATCAGTTATACTTTAAGGTTTATTTTAGTGTAAAAAAGGGAACAAAATTACCTATTATTTCTTTGGATCAGCTGACTAAACATAAAGGGGAATGCCAAGTCCCCATAGTAATAAAGGCCCACTGTGCACACATATAAAAGTTCATGATTATAATAGAGGGTAATTCCAATAATCAATTGGTAAAAGAAATTATATCAAAAATACTTGGCACTTCAAAGTTATTAAAGGTTTTATTATTTCATCAACACTAGTAACATTAAAAAAACAAAATAATAATTATTTTAATTTTATAGTGTGGAAGTGTAAAGCATAATAACTGGGAGTAAAATAACACAAAACACCTTTAGTTTTACATATTTATTCTTGTTGATCATCACCATATATGAGTAAAACATCATCAACAAATTGTGCGGGTAGAAATACATTATTTTGATGCCTTTTCCATCCTAAATACCATATTATTATCACGGTCATGACATAAGCACAGCATCCTACAGTACGCCAGCCACCAATACAGTTACTGCTGCATGGCCTGTGTCAACAGTGCCAACTAAAACCGATATACAGCTTTTTGCGACGAACATGACGACTAGCGATTCTGGTCGTTACCAGTGAACAGATTTGTGCAAATATAGTGATTGTTCTATTACTATTATTAGTACATACTTCTATACAGTATGCCCCGGTAAATCTCATTTGCTCGCCATAGTATGAGCGAGCTTGCTTAAGTTAATAAGTGTCACAAGCAATCAATATTAAATCACATATTTATACCAGGGAATTCTCTTATATCTCATTATTAACAGTAATGTTTTGAAAATCTGCTTCACAAGTAGTGTTTGTATTCCATGTATGTGATTGTTACCTTAAAAATGATGTGGCACAGTGATGACACATACATTTACATGACCAGTAATTGGCTCAAATCTTGTTGTATGTCGCATTTCATTCCAAGCATTTGTCCTACATGTATGGCACACTAGACTATCACTGGAAACTTGTACCTACAAGAAAAGATGAGAGCAGTTACAAAATCAGCACATAAAGTACTTTTAAAATACTATTAAGTACTAAGAGATTTTAAATATATATGATCATTAATTACCTGGCTAATCCATCGTTGTATAAGATTTCGAACTTCAGTGATTTCCAAAGTATGTCTTCGAATTCTAGATACATTCAAACCGCAGTATAAACAACGTAGATCACCACTCACAGCAGTAGATGACTGTTGTGAATAACTAGGTCCAGAGTAAATGCCGGGTTCGTCGTCGGTCGAAGCGTGTACGGTGTAATACCAAATCAACATTGTCGATACTAAGTCCAGACTGAATGCCGGGTTCGTAAGCCAAAGCGTCTAATACTAAATCCAATTTATCACCAGTGTCGTCATGAGTAGCAGGAGCAGAATCCATAATCAGGCTGTAGTCGTCAAGGATAGGAGAATCCTCAAAGTTAATGAGTGAAAGTAGTCAATTTAAACCACGATTAGTATACACAAGTCGTAAGTAAACAAACAAGCAATGATTTTGACATTAACTTTTTCCGGCGGCTTGTCAAAAGTTGACTTGATGTTGCCATAAGAAGAAAAAATCGATAGATCGATTATATTATTATTTCACAAAAAAATTGTTCTTTAATGGAAATAATATTAGTTTCCATTACATGATATTCATTAATTCATTTTCTTTTCGGAAAAATATCTCTGTTTATTAAAAATAATATCACTGTTATTGTGCCGATTCATTCTTGGTAGTTTTTTTTTGTAAAGGCAACATCTTGAAAATATTTTTATGTTTCCTAAGATTAGTCATTTTCATATCTATTTAATGTTTTTGAAAAAATATCCCATCATGCACAGACTTATGAATATATGCAAGACATGAGTAAAATAACAAGGTATTTTACTACTGAAACCAATTTGTTGTGCAGCTCTGGGCCTAAAATTGGCATTCCCCTTTGTACAATTATCATATTCGCATTGGGTACTTACTTCACAAAATAAATTATAATTAACTACCTAGTCTCGCGCGGTTTAACCCGCTGCCATTTAATTGTAGCGTGATGTTTTATAGCCTATAGCACTCAGAAACATTGTAGCTATCGATCAGTGAAAGAATTTTGGCAATCCTGACTAGCGGTTCCGAAGATTATCCCCTACATACAAACTTACAAATTTTTTCTTCTTTATAATATTAGTATAGATAAGCTAGTTGTATATAACAAGGGCTTACGTTAAGCAGTTCGATGTCGGAGTCGTGGTGCGCGGTGTGAGGCTGCGTGGTGAGCTCGTTCAGCATGTCGTTCATCACGTTCATGTTGCCCTCCACCACGGCGAGGTCGGCGCGGAGCTTATTCGTCTGGCTCTCTGATAGTGTCACCTGAAATATTTACAACACGAATCGATGAAACGGGGTCCGTTTCTACGCAGTGGCGTAGTACCTACATGGGGTAGAGTCACTCTACTTCTCCCCCACTCTGAAGCTTCTGCCTAGACAGATTTGCGAATTACGATGCCGCTTGACGGTGAGAGATAATAAAAAATCGTGGCTCGACCATGGCCGCGTAAATTGAGAAGAAAGCTATGTCGTTAAACAATGAAACAATGAATTTATTTTTGCAAATAGGCCATAAAACGGCACTTTTACATGTCAAATTATATGTGAAAAACTAGATGAAGCCGACATTTCCTATCTGACTACTCTGAGAAGAAATGCCGAAACAAACTCAGAGGTCAGTCTCTTTTCAAGTCCAGACAATGTAAAATCACATAATGTGAGAGAACCGTGCAAGTTCTGTAGTAGTCTTTTGAGGAAAGAACCACACCAGTTTAAGTGGACCCGTTCTGAAGACAGGCACGCAAGTTTCAGTTTGCAACCAGTATAGCTCATCATTCATCAGCTCATTAATTTTTGATTTTAATTTTGAGCTATATCTCAAAATTAAAAGCAAAAATTAACTGCCTATCTAAGACATCTTATGATTCTTAGAAATATGGAGGTAGTTGACCGCTACAGGAAATTGAAGCGACACAAACCAGCCAACAGCTTTACATCCGTTTTGTATGGAAAAAATATGAGTGAGGACGTGCGATGTTTTCATATTAATGAGGACTATCTTCTATATCTTAGACAAGTTGTATGTCAAAGGACCCGAGCTGCTAGAGAGACTGATAAATACATATCTTTAAAATAAATTTGATAGATGTTGGTTTTCTAAAAAAGCATAATATCAGATCCTGTCTCGAATACAGCTACCTTACTATATAGAATAAGGTTTTGAAATCTGAATAATGCCTAGCTTTTATTGAATTATTCAGTTTTGTAGTCGTTATATATTTTAATGATGCAATATCATACTCAAATACAAATTAGACATAAAAAAATTAAAAGTCAGCTCTCGATTGACACTTATAGACATTCCGAATTATATCTGTATGACTGACGTCTAAAGAATGCGGAGATAAAAAAACCAGTACAAAAATGTAATATTTTTTTATTTTATTTATGTAATAGGTCGGCAAAAGAGCATACGGATTACCTGATGGTAAGAAATCAGCGCCGCACATGGACACCCGCAACAGAGGAGTTACGAGTGCCTTGCCGACCGTTTAGGGATTAGGGATTTGGGGAGGGGAAGGATTGGGCCTCCGGTAACCTCACTCACACGGCGAAACACAACGCTGTGGTTGTTTCACGCCGGTTTTCTGTGAGGCCGTGGTATAACTCCGGTCGAACCGACCCATTCGTGCCGAAGCATGGCTCTCCCACACTTATTAGTAAGTATATTAATTTTAGTTTTAACATTTTGAAATTGTTTGTCTATAATGCGACCCGATTATCTGTTTGATGCGTAACGAACGACCGTAAGCCCTTATTTTCGGGAAAGCATTCGAGCTAACCAGTCCGTCTTACAAAACTATGATGCATACATTAAGTCGAAACGCATACTATCGGACTGACATTAAAAACAAAAGCCTAGCCAGTGTCAATAGTCTACACTTGTATTAAAGGGTTCGTTATCTTTAATCAGCTACGTATTACTCAGAAATCATTATAATGATAATTTGTATAACAAAAGTTAAATGGTCTATCTAATTGATAGTAATCGTTGATTATTGATATTATTGCACTTGAAACTTAATTATAATGCATAAGTGTCTGCACACGCTGTCTAGCGTCGAGTAGGTAATCAACCTCTTTTGGTAACTAGTGCAAGGAAGGAAGAATAGAGTAAACTTTGATGGCCTTATTAACCACGATTTTGAATCTTATCCTTATCTACCTTAGTTCGGAAATACAAAAACTGGATCAATACATAGATATAGACTAAAGAAAAATTTAGTTTGTAATATGGCCGATAGCGTTTCGCACTCTTCCCATGGGTGCCTTTAGAGGTAATAAAAGGTTTATACCGGATCGTCTTAAGCTACGATCTCAAACGTAAAGCCGTAATTTGAATTTATTAAAATTCAAATTCAATTAAGATTACAAATAATTTTGTTTATTCTACAGACTACTATTTTTACCAAAACATCCATCATTTATACATACCTAAGTAAAGATAAATTATCTAATTATCTGCTAAGATTATGATAATAGTAATATGAATACGAATACAACTTACGGTTCCAGATATTTGTTCCTGGTTGGGACGACTGGGCGAGGTTTGCGGCATAGCTGAGCGTTGAGGCGAGCCGATCATAGGTTCACCACTATCCGGGACACTCTGCACAGAACTCATTGTCAACAACTAACAACTTTATAGCTAAGAAAAGAGGGTTCAAAATACTACTTCTTACACAATATTACTAAGGTGACTAGCCAACTATACACTTATAATGAACGAGACTATATCGTGAACTGGTTGGTTAGCTAAATAGATCCTTGTCAATTTTTTTTATTATTGTAAAATTTCGAAGAATGCAACTTGGTTTTAATGTGAGAGATAAAATCGATGTCAGACGAATTTGATATTTATTAGCATTTCTATAGTTAAACTACCAAGACCGTGTAGGTTTTTTTTACCTATTTCAGCTTAAAAACATAAAAATCCCTTCATATCTTTTCTTTCCGGTAAATAACCCTATTATAATAAATCAACCTTTGTTCACAATCACAAAAACCATTGATATTATCGCTGAAAAACAATTCTAAGAACTACCTTGTAGGATCAATAGTTTACAAATTTCAGGTAATACCATTCAAAATGACTCATTTTTTTTATAATTTATCGTATGGATCATGATAGTGAGTACGTGTGCGAGCCGATAAGGGACAAATATTAGATAATTTTAGGTACAGTTCTATAGCAAATATCAGGAAGTTAGCTAGTTTAAAATTTACGTACCCTTTGTGGTGTGAATATGGGAGCCATTGCGTCTAAATCTGTCATTGGAAACTCGACTCCTTTAGTCCTTAATTCGGTGTAAACTTGCACTACGCCCTGAAAAAAATATTTACTATAAAACGAGTAACGAGTTCATCGCAGTAATAAAATGTACTGCGGTTTATTGATTTCAAACTAGTACTAGTAGGTGCATTGCAGAAATAATCAATGAATCGACCACTTCGAAATAGGCACAACGTTGTTACCGAAGCGAGCACACATCTGAATAAGTAATTAGGTCTTACACGCCGAAGATATTCACCTGGCCAACGAAGGTTCTAGCATGGAGTACATTCAGGAACACAAAATTTTAGTCTCGTTCCAATTTTGAAATCCTATATTCGTCATAAATTCTGTATCTACCGCAATACAACAGAAGAATAGAGCTCTCGTCTCTGATGATGATTTACGACTGTTATTTGTCAAGCTAAAACCTTATTTTTTGTTACCTAATTACATGTCTACAAACAAATAGACAATCAACGGAATATCATTGTGTCATTTGGGCGCCAAACTATGTCCCCAAGGCTTTTACTATGCGTCGATAATCGTCCAAAGTACCGCAATTAGTAGGACAAAAGCCCTCAATAAATATTGCTGTGTCATTCTGTTATTTGTAAATAATCATAGCTCTTAACCGAGTTAAAGCACGCGATATGATATACTATCAAATATTTAAACTCCAACTATGTTTCGCTATGTAGTCTAACTAGGAGTAGTGTTAAATGTCTTTATTAGAACCTATATCAGCCAGTTTTGCGGCTTTTTTTTGTCAGGGGAAAATCATCAAATGACTTCTCCCGCGCAGAGTAAGGCGAGAGAAAGTGTCAGACTCTTACTGACTAAAAAACCCCCGTACCTTCTCCTGCTCTGGGCCGAGGCCGCGGTAACTCATTGCGTTTGACCCGCAACCCCGACTGAACATCAGCCCTGTAGTGTGCCTGTCTGTGTGGGTCTAATGGCTCTTTGAGGCGCGCGCGGAACGCTACGCGCCGTACGCTCGGGTCTGATTCTGGTCGGGCGGCGAGCTACCCTTCCGCAGACCCGCACTTACAATGTATGTATGGCCCAGCTAGGAGCAGGAAAATGACCGGGTTGGTTTTCAGTCAGTAAGAGTTTGACATTCCCTCTAACCCCATCCAGGAGGAGAAGTCATTTGATGATTTGCCCCCCTCAAAATAAAAGTACATTAAACTACAGAAACAATTCCCTATGACGAAAATAAGAGCTTAAGGGATACATGGGGATGTCTTTAATTTATGATATTTATTTAGTGAGTAAGTATAATATGGAAATGGATTTATTAATATAAGTAGATTTTATGCGGGAGAACCATGAACAAAGACTTAATATCTCACTAAGTACTTCAAACACGCCAGGCGTGAACCGAGTATTTCCCTTTAATTAGATTAACCGCTAAGCTCTTTTAGTAGATGGATATAATGAGATTGTTTGTATGGAGCATTGAACCAAGAAATTATTCAGTGTATGGTCCTACTGGTTCCCTTGTGTCAAATTACTTACTATTTAAAGCTTATTCGTACGTATTTGAAACTAGCTACTCTCGTGCGGTTGCACCCGCTGTTCGGCGCCATTTGATCGTAGCGTGGTGTTTGATAGCCTATAGCACTCAGGAACATTGTAGCTAGTTATCAGTGAAAGAATTTTGGCAAACCGACCAACGGTTCCAAAGATTACCCCTCTTTATAATATTAGTATAGATATACGATTAGGGAGACTCATTCCTTGATAGACAAGCCTTATAGCTTTTTGCGTACTAAGTTAAAGCGTACGTACCTAAAGCTGACTAAAATTTACAGACCTTAATAAGTAATGGGAAATTATTAACTGCCCCAATGAAATTCTGGAAATGCTCTCAAATACCTGACCAAAACATTCATAAAATATACAGTACACGTTACTTTGAAAAACTAATAAATATGTAATAACGATACCATTGAATATTAAACGAAGAAATCGCGTACCTAAAAAGCTGGTCACATGAATTCGATTGTAATGTTCTACACAAGTGATGATTGATGACTAGGAATGACCTATACAATTGAAGCCGCCACGAGCCGACCGCAATTGAAAGTTTTGACCTTCTCTCAATATACAAGCGTATTGGGTATACTTACTATTGATTATGAGTGTGTAAAATATGTTGTACTAGCGACCCGACCTAGCTTCGCATGGGGGTAATGATGATACTAAATGTATCCATTATTTAACCATTTAATCATAATAATTCGAAACGCAATATAAAAACAATAGATAAATTAGTATATGTTATTATACATATAAAACATCCTCTTCAACCACTCTATCTATTAAAAATTGGACTAAAATTCGTTGGGTAGTTTTAAAGATTTAAGCATTTACATATATAGGGACACAGGGATAGACAAAGCAACTTTGTTTTATACTGTGTAGTAATATTACACACATCATGAAAATTCATCACTTTGAACGAACTAATCTCAGGAATAACTGGTAGGAATTAGAAAAAAACTTTTTGTGATGAATAAGTTAATTAAACGAGGAAGGCTATTGGCTATCAAAAATCACGATACCTACGTCCAATGCGAAACGGGCAGCGCATGAAACACAAACGAGACTAGCTAAAAGAATATAAAGTCATGCAGTGGCATATGTCCTGCAGTGGACGACATCAGGCTGATGATGATGATGATGATGATGATGATGAAACTTTCTTAAGATGTATATTGTCCCAAATTAGTACAAGAGCCAATTAGAAGTGGAAACCGAAGGTGGGTGATACTAGAAAAACTAATACAATACGAACATAGAATCAAAGTTGAATGAAACGCGACCTTTGCTAATTCTCACCATAGCTGCTCTGCTTAAATAAACTGACTCTTCTACCAGCAATTGCAGACTGAACGAATATATTCAGGAAGGTAGACAAAGTGGAGCAAATTGCTGATACTTTAATATAGTCAATTTCTATATTAATAATCGAATTTTTAGCAGATTACGTCATTTTAGTCAACTATCCTGCCTATCCAAGGCATTCATTTACCTCCAAAAAATAATCCTGCTACAAAAATAATGTATGACGAAGTTGCCTTTCCATGTAAATAAAATCCTCCCAAACTTAGTACATTCATGTAAGCAATGGAAAATGATATGTCACAATTTACCTGTAAATCAGGCTGGTTCTGGAAAGCATCCGCCCAACACTGAATTAGGCTAAGCACCTTCTCTTGGACCACTGTTGGAGGATCATTCTTAGGGCCAATCAGTTTTACCTAGGAAAGAAAAAACTTATTTAAAATATATCTTGCTGAACAATGAACTTTAAAATTTAAGTATTAGGGCATCTTATTGAATCAATACTAATAATAAGAGGATATTAACTTCCCTAAATTAATACTGAAAAATAAATGATTTAAAATGAAATAAAATACATATGTATATTTATCTGTATCATATCTCTATCTGTAGTATATTTTTCAATATTGTTTTTGCTATTCTAATACATTATAGAGGTAAATAAACCGTTAAGAATTAATTAAACTAGTTTTGATAATATATGGACATTGATAATGTGATGTGTAGTTTGAAGGCCAATAACAAGTTATTTTTGTTAGCTTCGCTACAGAAAGTCAGAGAACACAAAAAATTACATCAAATATGTAGCAAGTTGAACAGGTGTGCCAAATAAATATTGCATCTGTACAACATTTTATTTTTCAAACATTTTAGCCACAACTGACGATTTCTAATCTTAGTAGGTAATATGTAATAAATAATGTTTTTATTTTATGTCACATGAGATTAGCTGTTTTAAATTACAAGAGCCACTTAAAAAACAATCAACTAACCAAATATTTTAATTAATGTTGTGAAATCGTGTTCTACAGTACTACTGTCTAAAGCAACTGCTATGTTTTCAAAACAAAATATATTTTATGCATACATTTTTAACCAACATAATGGTTAAAATATTTTTGACGAGCTACTACCGCGTCGTTTCACCCGCTGCTTGGGTCCTATTCGCCGTAGGGTGATGTATTACAGCCGATAGGAACATTGTAGCTACTAGTAGTTTTTTTTATGTAATAGGTCGGCAAACAAGCAGACGGATTACCTGATGGTAAGCAATCAGCGCCGCCCAATCCGCCCATGGACACTCGCAACGGAGGAGTTACGAGTGCGTTGCTGACCATATAGGGATTAAGCTTTTGGAGATTAAGGGATTGGGGGAGGGGAAGGATTGGGCCTCCGGTAACCTCACTCACACGGCGAAACACAATGCTGTGGTTGTTACACGCTGGTTTTCTGCGAGGCCGTGGTATCATTCCGGTCGAGCCGACCCATTCGTGGCGAAGCATGGCTCTCCCACACTTAAAGTAGTGGTAGTGAAAGAATTTTGGAAATCCTACCAGTGATTTCAAAGATTACCCTCACAAACAAATTTTACCTCTGTATATGTATTATTAGTATAGATGTTTGTGTTTCCAATTGCTTAAGTAATACAATTTAGGCAAAATGTGTAAGAAATGTTGATGTAAGAAGATTGAAAAATGAATATTAAGCTGAGAGAAACATTTCAGGATATATTTATTTAGAGCCTGTAACACTTTAAACAAATTGATTAGACTGAGACTAGAATAGTATGTTTTGTATGTAAATAAACTAGCCAATAATAAATGCAGTTACATAGTGCATGACATTGCAGTCATAACAGATATACATACAAACATATATGCTAGGTGAGGAGCTCTGAATCATAATTAGCAGTTGACTCATAGGAACCTATGAAATACTCAGGAAACTGAGAGGAATTTAATACAGTCGAGTGTCACTGTAATTGGCACCATATCAAATGATAAATTTTATCAATAAATTAGCTTCTGCCAACAACTATATCCACGTTCCGGGGATAAAGTTGCCTATGTGTTATTTTAAACCAACAGGTCAATTGAGTTGAATGAAATAGTAACAAACTCGGACATTCATAATATTGGTAGCAAACTAACTAAGATTTTTGAACATTTCAAATATGGATTACAGAACTCTTATAGACTACCAAAAAGGTTAATAAATTCATTTTAAAAAACTTATATTGGTTTACGGTAAACTTCATATATTTATGCAGTTTTTATACAAATCAATCCATGTTTTGTTCAAGTAATAATATTTATCTGCAGGCCAAGGAGAACTGATTTTACTGTTTCTTTATTACAGAATGCATAAAGTATGAGATGTATGTACAGTGAAGGTTGTTGTTTCAGAATTGTTTATAGCTTCATATTGATCTTACGACTGGTTAGCAAACTACTAAACATAAATTTAAGTTTTTTTTATAGATCATACAGACTTATTAAAAATTGCAGTATTTTAAATCAAATTTTTGTGTCATTTACTAATTATTGTTTTTAAGTCTGGGTAGATTTCTTTTCCAAAAAAGTTAATAGAAATAAATTAGCAATATAAAATATCCAACATTCAGAATTTCATCTGATATCACATCATAGTGAGCATGATTTTGTTATTACATAAATATTTTGTTTATCATCTAACTGTCTTCTCTTCGGCAGCATCATTCAAGATTAACCTTCAAGATAAACATTACTATCAGTTGAACTATAAACATTTATGTGAAATGAGTCATGTCATTAGTTTGTGAGTTATCAATGTTTACTGGCTAATCTAAGGTATTTAAATACCTGTTTTATGTAGCTACCTACCTACCTACCTACCTATACAAGAACTAAGTTACTTAATTCAAAATATTTAATGAAAAATTGAACTAATTTCCAAGATAACATTTTAAGAAATATGAATTAGTAATGTTATGAAGGGAATGTGTTATCATTTGTTATAGATTTTGATGTAAAATACATATAATTTTTTCTAAATTTTCCTTTGAATAATGAGTCAAAATGAAATAAAGCAGACTTAAAAGCCATACATTGAGTAAGAGTAGAGGTTTAGTATAGTGAGTATAGTTGAGTATTTAGTAGGTAATTAAATTTTCCTGTATTTCAGTTCATTTAATGATTTCAGTAAGTATGAATCAGTTTGTACTTCTATTGTTATTGTTCTCAAAGTTTCTTTATCAAGCATTTATCAGATGCACACAAAGGTATAAACAGATTCTATGATAACAAATAATCACTGTATTTGCCTTGTTTTGATAGTTGTTGCCAGACAATAAAAAGACAGGTTGCTATTTGAATATAAGCCTATGAAAAGATATTGATACTACACTTACCAATTCAGATATAAACTCCTTGTTGCAAGCCTGAACATGAAATGACTTGCCACAGTTCTTTACACAGGTCTCAAGCACAGTCAGAGTATGCATTACAATTGTGTAGTTCTTTCCAGCACTCTGAGTCAATCTCTTTCTTATAGCCTTAATGGCATCTTTAGGCCCGTCTGCAGTACTGTTTACAATATCACATATTTCCATATTAAGAGCCCAGTTCTCCGACGGTAACGATCCATCTGTAGCTTGTTCTGAAACAATATTTCCAACCGTAACACGAAGGGTCAAAGCAATTAACATCAACTTCATAAGATACGACGTACGAAATAAGATGACCACAGCTATGCTCATAAAGTACTTTCAATAAAATTGCCTAATATTTAGCTACCGTGACACCACAACAAAGAGAAATTGAGATCTTCTAGTGCGCAACAAAAAGAAATGGAACATAGGGTACGGTATTTTAATATTTTAGAAAGTGATGCTTAATGGAGAGTATACCAAATTAATTCTTACCTATTTTTTGCCCTACCGGCGTAGAAAAAGGATTCCCTACACCAAAGAAAGACATCTTTGGAAATTAATCAAGTATTTATCAAAATGATTTCACCGATTTCACTTGTCACCAAAAACGCAATACACAGATAAAATATACGCGCAGTATCTGTCAAGTTTAAAAAAATTCGTTCAGAAATAGTTTCATTAAAACAATCAATCAATAAATAGCAATAAGGATAAAATAACCAAAATAATTAAAAGAAAAATAACTTAAAAAATATTTTGCACAACATAATGAGATGGGAGTTTTGTTTTTATTTCAAAGATTTACTAAATATTCAATCATAATTATATATGAATTTGCGTAGAGCAAAATTTATTATAAGACGCAAGAATAGTGACTTTTAGTACCAGCGGCAATATTTAAATATAAAACTGCCTCCTGCAATTATTTATTTAAAAAATATAAACTTTCAGTGGGAACCGTGTGGAACTTTCAGTACTTCTTTGTAACTTGTAAATAAATTGTCAGTTACTATAGCAACCTCATAAATAACAACTATTATTTACATCAATACGCACCTGACATTGACTTCAGCTTTAGAAGTGGATTAAAAATATTAATACAATGGATCAAGATTCTATGCCACCGAAACGATCTCTAAATAGTCTTATTATTCACCCAGATGTAGAACCGGGTGTAATAGATAATGCCATGCTCACTCGATGTATTTTAGAAAATGGTAGGTAAATGAGCCGGTTTCCACTATTATCTGATTAAATTATCATCTGATCGTATATTCGGATATAGTTTAATTTTTATGCATATCTTTAATATTCAAACAATAAAAAAACCTTATCATTTTCTAATCAGGCCCAACCGAAGAGGCTGGTAGACTTTTTGCTGAAGAAGGTGTCCATCTAGACGAAGCGGAAGAAGTGAGACTGGAATTCCAAAAAATTCTTAGAATCGATCATCTTTGGATGTTAAAATCTTTAAGAAAGCTTACTTTAGCTCATAATTTAATTGAGAAAATTGAAAATTTAGATCAACTCACAGGCCTCAATGAGTTAGACCTATCCTTCAATAAGATTAACAAAATCGAGAAATTGGACGCGTTAGTCAATTTGGAGGTGCTGACGTTGTTCCATAATAAAATAAGAAAATTGGAGAACTTGGACACGCTAGAGAATCTCCTCGTTTTTAGTATTGGAGACAATAAAATAGAAGATTATAAGGAGGTACAATATTACACGCCAGATTTATTTTAATGCCTGGTAAAACTTTCAAACTATGGAACTAAAATCTGTTAACACGCTTGCCACCACTCGCCCACTTTTTGATGTAGGTAGATACTGATTAGGTACCATTTGCAAAAACATTCGTTATAATAATTTTTTTTTTCGTTTTGAAGATGGCGTACCTACGTAGATTTCGGAAGTTACGATCTGTAAGTTTTAAAGGCAACCCATGCTGCGATGATCCAATGTCCTACCAATTCATTAGAGCAGCTCTTCCGAGAGTCACCTACGTGGACTATAAGATCGTCACTGAAGAAGAAAGAGAGAGCGGGAGATCTATGTTTAGGTAAGCCGTTTTAACTTCACCTGTGTTGTTAAGCATCAGCTAATTTGTAAGTATGTCTGGCACCCCATTCCACAATAAAAAATTGAGACGAAAGCTTTCAGGGTACCAGACTTCTCCGATAAACCCAGTGCTTTGACGCTTGCTTGGAATTTTTAGACAATTTCTTTTATATAAGCCATTCCAGCTGTTAACTGTCTGTGTACGCAGATAAAAATAATACAAGGACTAAGTAAAACACTTGTTCAATGTTGCGTTTATTGTTAAATAACATAAAGTTCAGTAGAATTAGGAAACTTTTTAGATTCTACTATCAGTGTCACGAATTACTCCTTTAGTTTCTCTCGTATTATAGTTACTAGGTACCTATATTAAATTATTTGGATTGGACAATTAGGACCTATGCAAAGATAAATTTAAAATAATTTTATTTTTTTTTTTTTATTTAAAATTTAAAAATTAGGACTTATAATAAGATAAGTGTGGGAGAGCCATGCTTCGGCACGAATGGGCGCGCGCCTCATAATGGAGTCCTGCGGTCGGGGTGACGGCCGCAGTGGGTGACGGGGCCCGCCTAACCATCTGGCCAGCCAATACCCGTCGGGGGGATGCGACGAATGCTTCGGCGATACCCGCCCCTCCGACACATTGGTAAGTGGAGGAACACCGGGTTGGTTTTTAGTCAGTATGAGTCTGACAGTACCCTTCGCCCTTCCCCGAGGGTGGTGGGTCTCCATGAGGATTTTCCAACCCGACACAAAAAAAAAAAAAAAAAAAAACGGCCTCACAGAAGACCGACGTGAAACAACCACAGCGTTGTGTTTCGCCGTGTGAGTGAGGTTACCGGAGGCCCAATCCTTCCCCGCCCCCAATCCCTAAATCTCCAAATCCCTAATCTCTAAAAGGTCGGCAACGCACTCGTAACTCCTCCGTTGCGGGGGTATCCATGGGCGGCGCTAATTGCCATCAGGTAATCCGTCTGCTCGTTTGCCGACCAATTACATAAAAAAAAAGATAAGTTAACAGATACCAAGTAACGTAAGACATAATTGCAGAGGTCTTATACGCAAAATGGACGAGGCGGATGAGAAGACTGAACAGGAGAGGATTGCTAAAGAGGAATATGACGCTAAGGTCACGTTCTACGCCATGTCCTTTGTTGAATACCTCAGTGGGCCTGAACTCCTGGAAACTATGTTTGAAAAGGATTCTGACGGACAGACCCTACTAAGCTTCGGTGGAGAACTTCAATCGTATTTTGATCAGTAAGCTTTCCTTTTGTCACATTATTTAATGCAAAATTTTTGTGTCTTCTTAAGGATAATGTGGCTATGTCCACTTGGCATATAAAACAGTATTTTGAGCATCTTCACCAGTCTAAATCGTGTTGGTTATTTCTGAACCTTATTTGTCAGTTCTTTTGCTTATTAATTTACAGGTACAAAGAAAACTACGTAGAAACGATGGCAAATCTTGTAGAATTTGCCCAAGAAGCATACAATGACAGACAGAACGAAATTAAACTGTTCAAGGATCTAGTAGACAGTGCTCTATCAGAAACTGTAGAGAAAAGTAAAAAGTAAGTATCTACTTGGCTGCTAAAGTACCTGAGGATGGACATAAGGGATCTTCTTCACTCAGTCATGAGTTAAGACCTTTTCTCCCATCGCGAGGGTATGAGCATTCGCTTGGACAAAGCAAATTGGTGATTTCAAAATTACAATTAGAAATTAAGTGTACCCAAGTCCAGGTTTTCAAACGTCGTTTTCCTTCGCAGTTTGTCAGTGGTGTCTAAATTAATGTAAAAAGTAGGTTCATAGGTAACTTGATAATGAATGAATAAACCTACTTGTTAGGTTTTGAATAAATAATGGATTGATGATGGATTGGGTAATAATGTTTGAAGTTAGGTACCTCGGTCAAATAATTCTGGTCTAAGCGGTATTAATTGTTGTTTTCCCAATGATAGTTAAAACTGCGATGTCAATTATCTACTATTATAGGGTTGTCTAATAAGCAAAAGTTATTCTGCATAGGTCCTAAAACAAAATCGGTATGTTAGTCACACAAAGAATTATATTTAGTGCGATATGAAGTTTATTATGCATCATTCTGAATTTTTATGTAAACCTCACATACCTAAATCAATTTGGTCAGAGTGCTAGAAGAGTTCCAAGGTAAGAAGAAGCCGATAATGGCTCAAGTGGCAGATATTAGCAACCAGTTCAAGGCAAAACAGATCAGCTTGGAACAGATGGAACCGATGCTGCTGGACCTTGGTGAGACTTACCATGAGATGTTGTACGAACTGTGGAAGAGCCTGATGACTATAGAGATGCAGCTGTTTGAACAATGTGAGGTAAGGAACAAATTATCCAGCAGCGGTTGCAGGGCAAGCGCCTTTATGTACCTACCTTTTAGTCAATAAGAGCCTGACACTGCCTCTTGCCCTAGCAATGTAAAAATGTATTAAACGTCAAAAAATAATGTATTAGTAATTACTAAAATTCGTCGTCTTTTCAAACTTTTCGTAACTACAAGTTAGATATACCTAGGTATCCTGAAGTCAAAGTATGACTTATCCACCTTCAGAAAACTGACTAAGTATTTTACGTACGTTACAAATAATTTTACCGATCTAATACCATGTTTATGTTCATTTCCGCATAGGACTCACGCGTTCAGTTCTCAGTGAACATGGCTGAAAAGGTGACGAAGTTGCTGGAAGTGTCCCGTATGGCATTCGGGGCGTGGCGTGAACACGAAGGCGTGTGGTCTACGCGACAGTTCGAGGTGCTTTCCAAGTACCTTGGGAACAAAGTCATGCTGGGAGACGCATCGCCTGAACTATTTGATGTGAGTCGTAGTACCTTAGTTCCTAAAGATTTTATTAACATTATATTTTCCAAAATACTTACGTAGGTATCTAGATAGAACCTCTTCAGTAAAATGTATTTTCAAAAGCATTATTCTTCATAAAAGATAAAGTAGGACAAACGAATACAATTTAAAATTTTATTCACTTAAAACTTCAAACTTCAAGGTGATGATGGACCGCGACCTCTTGATGAACCTCGTGGCCGCATCATCGGACAATCACATGCGTTTCATAGACGCGCGGGAGGACCTGCTAACGACGCGCGCTAATGCCTGGCGTGATGAGCTCGTCCAAGGAACTAATGAGTGAGTTTTAAGAATTCATTCTTCACATCACATATCGTCAGCCTATAAGTGCGCACTGCTGTCCTCCTCTCAGGCCTCTTCTCATACGGAGAAGGTTAGAGCATAAATCACTAAGCTTACTCAAGGCTTGCGGATGCACCCTCATCAGCACAGGCCATAATTATTACATGGTAGATGTTTATATTGCCGGAACAGGAGAGTGTACCAACTTTACGTTAACGTCATTGGAGTCTTTTAAAGACCAGATGCGAAGCAGGTACTTATTATGTCGGTACCTACTCTTAACTGGTGTGCTTCTATGTCCAGTGATCGTAGTGGAAAATTAAACCTAAGAATCGCATTCATTTAAAAGTAGAGAATATGATAAAGATGGTAGAAACATGCTGGGTGCAGCTCAAGCAGTTTGTTGTTACGTTGTCTTCTTAGGCATTGTTAGAAGATGATATAGGTATGAATTATTGTCTTTTTTTACAGCAATGAAGTGAAACGCAACAGAGACAGAATATTGGAGATCAATTATTTCATAGACAACCAGCGTGAAGAATGGGCGGATATGCATATGGCGCTCACTGACACTGTAGATCCTGATGCCGTAGCCTTATTGGGAGATGATTTTTAACCTAATATTTCTTTTTCTGTCATGTTGGAGGTTTTATTTTAATAGGTACCAAAAATACCAATAATATTAGTTAAAATATGAATCAGACTTCTGAACTGAATTCATTCAGCATTATATTTATTATCATCAATGAATGACACTTTCAGTGCAGATTTGTACGTCACTTACTTGTATGAAATAATTTTACATTAAATCGATTAAAACGTTATTTTGTAAGTTTATTTCTATTCAACAATAACATGTCTTTATAGATACTTTTGGTAGGTACAATAGGTAGGTAGGTACCTTATTTTTGTCCATTCTGGTTAAAAAACTTTGTCTTTAAGTCCTACGTAGAGGGCGCCATATTCGTTGACCCGGAGCCTGTGTCTTTTTGTAACAACAGCGCCACACATCAGTAAACTATTCATTTTGAGCTTAAAACTGAACTGAACTTATCCAGCCTTATTCGCTTTGGCTGTCTTTTTCTTCTTTAAATTATCCATAAATGTATCTAATAACTGCTGGACTTCGGCGCTTGTTATAACGTTTACAAAGTTAGCCGTGTATTGTTTTTTATTTTGCTCTATTTTCGTTAGGAAATCTTGTCTAAAGGAGCGTTTGGTTTTAATTCGGGCAGTTACTGGTATTTGATCGTATAATCGTATGTAAGCCTTGCATTTTTCTATTGCGTCTGCTTTGTCTGCCGCGACTTCATCTACAAGGCCCACCTGAAATGTAAATTGAAACGTTTTGGGGCCTTAATGACATAAACATGTAGTTTTATATAAATCAAATTCACTAAGTTCTGGAAAAAATAATAATTTGTAGAAGACAAGATAAAAATTATTGAAAGATTATCATCATCCCGTTTATTTTTTTAAATAAATTCTAAGCAAAAGGTTCTCGTATTCCCAATAAGATCAGGAAAATACGAGACATGAGAATAAATCAATCTGTATTCTATCTTATTAGGTACCAACGGAACATCGTAACATTTAGATATCTATACTATACCTAAGTACATACCTGTAAAGCTTTCTCAGCTGAGTACATATAGGAGCTAGTGAGTGCAAACTCCGCGTGCCTCGGTCCCATTACTCTGGTCAGAAGCTCGCCCAACCACGGAGCTGGTGGAATGCCAACAGCTGTATCGTTCAAACCCATCACAGCCTTGCCAGTAGTCATTACTCGGTATTCAAATGCCAGAGCCAGGATAAAAGCCCCGGCTGCTGTGTAACCCTGGAAATATGGTAGGAGCATCATTTTAATCAGCTACAGTCATCTTTATGACTGAGAGACCGCTCATCGTTCTTATCTGGCCGCTTGCCTTTTTTTTGTGTCGTAGTAGGAGTGTCAGACTCTTATCTACTGACTAAAACCCCCGTTCCTTCTCCTGCTCTAGGCCGAGGCCGCGGTTGCCTTATTGCGCTTGCCCCGCAACCCCGGCTTGCTGCTTGCATCCACCGGCAAGTTCTAATCTATTTCTTGATAATAAATGATGATTGATAATCTTGATTGAGTAACACTTGATAAATTAAAACCTCTATAACAGTGAAAGGAGGTGAATAGATGCAGAAGAGGGGTGAATTATACTAGGAGAATTCGCCAACGTCCAATCCAACATCCCTTTTTTGTATCCATTCATTCCGTTTTACCGTATATACTATACCGTATGTACTATAGGTACCTATTATTAGGTAGGTAGGTATACTTATTGTAGGTAGGTATGATATTTGCAAGTAGGCAAGTACCTACTTAGGTAGGTATTAGGTAATCCTATTTTAATAGCAAAAATGCTTTAAGATTAGATAAAAGAGTGATATAGCGTTTTTTGTACTCATTTGACCTTAGCACGTACTAAGTAACGACCTAACTCTTACCATATAATATTTTATTCGAGATTCGAAAATAGTTAATCTGAATGGGATACTTAGTATTATTTTGGTCACGTCTCAACAGGCGACATGATGGCCAAATGCCGTCCCAGGGTTACAGATTCCCGAGCGTATGGCGCGTAGCGTTCCGCGCGCGCCTCAAAGAGCCATTCGACCACCACAGACGGGGCCCTAAAGGGCTGATGTTCAGCCGGGGTTGCGGGGTAAGCGCAATGAGGTACCGCGACCTCGGCACAGAGCAGGAGAAGGAACAGGGGGGTTTTTAGTCAGTAAGAGTCTGACACTCCCTCCTGCCCGGCCCTGGGCGGGAGAAGTCATTTGATGATTTTCCCCTCACAAAAAAAAAAAAAGGGTTACAGAGTAAGTTGAGATATTCCCGTTTATTGGCCCAGTGGCAAAAAACGTATCATCGAAAAAATACTCACATTGATCGCAACAGTGGTTATAAGGTCTGAGCTAAACACTTTTGCGAAGGAATCAAAAAGGGTCTCCTTCATTTTACTCAAACGTTTTACATCTGCTTTATGTAATTCATTTAAGTCAATTCCCGCTGAAAATGTCGTTGGACTTGCCTGTAATTAATAAGAATTAATTATGTTTGTAAATCAATCGTTACAACCTAGTACCTACATGTTCTGTACCTATCTGTAATTATTAAAGTATGTATCTGCATACTTTAATAATTACCTAAGTAGGTAGGTAATACCTCCCTGAATGACTGAGCTATGCACTGTATTTTTTAACATTTTTTAAAATAAAGTAATCGTATTTAAGAATATCGATTTATCGCCTCTGAATAGGCACTTTTGTACCTAGGTAGCAATACAGAATTTAATGAAATTGCTGGAGCCGTTTTAGAGAGTCACATCACACTTAGTATATTAAGGTATATCTATACAAGAATTGCTTGTAAGTAAGTTATAAGATGGCAGATTGGAACAGAATAAGTAGGTACAATAAAATGTTTCGTCACTCATGCATGGCAAATAAAAGGTTATAAGAAATAAATAAGTCTGTATTAAGGTCAACAATCCTCAGTGTTCAATACATTTTTAAGGAAGGTTAGTACTTAATACTGAATCTACTCACCGATGTCAAAATCAAGCCTTTACATTTATTTTTCTCAACTTCAATCACTGAATCTTTTATCGCCTGGAATAACTCCAGATTTAAACTGTTGACTGGTAGTCTTTGCATCTGCAGTGTTGCTATTCCTTCATTATCCACGTCTACTGCAACTAAAGGATTCGGTTGTGAAGAATTCCACCTTGAAGCCAGAAAACTCCTTGGTATGCGCCGTAAGTGAAACATTTTGTAACGGAAACTAAATACAAACTGTAGGTATTTTGTAAATGCTAAATACTTCCCAATATCTGTAACAAAATAAAATAAAGCATATTATATGCACACAGTGTTTTTGATATCTAAGTTTTAATATTAGGTATTAAGATCTTAACGCATGATAACACACTTATCATAACAGATACAGACCTGCCACGGTTTTGGCGTTCTTATATTACTACAGTTAGTCGGTTACTACGCTGTAACCTTGATTGATTATATTGCAAAAAAGTATAGATATGCTAAACGTTCTTGTGTTGATAGCGTCAAACACGTCTTATGTGAATATCGTAGTGTGTATGAATGTAAGTTTGTTTATCATCAATTCCGTTTCTACGTTTTACTTGTAGGGTAGTTTAGTTACCTATTTAATAAATCTTTACGTATGTAGGTAGTCACGTCAGTCAGTTCGTCTGTCAATGGTAAAACAACCACGATTCTAGGTAACCCTCTTTCACTTCTTTTTTAGGCGATGCTATGTGCTCGTATGGCTCACTGACTGCTGCTTAACGGCTACAGGTTTAATAATTTTGTGTACCTACATATATCCAAATATTGTGTACCTACATATATCCAATGACGTATTATATATAGACACGTCATGAACCAACATCGCGGCGCTTAAAAACGGCGAAAATACTAGGTAACTACTTCTACGAGTAAAGAAAGGGAAAGAAAATATGACATCGTACATGGACCTAGAAAAAAAGGCGGACGCCGTCTGCTCTAACAATAACTGAAGCACCCATAGTAAGTCAGTGCACTAATATATACAAGCCAACACGCACACATTCACACCATAGTAAGTCTGCCGTCGGCCATTACGCTTCGAACGACGCTCGCGAATTATTCGGTGTTATTTTGGCTAATAAAAACGAAAGTATGCCGTCATGTGTTGTTAAAAGTTGTCGAAACCATAGTGGTTCAATTAAAAAAAGCCAGGGAATCACTTTTCATAGGTAAGCATGTCATTTTGAAGCTTATTTCTCGATTTTTTATGACATTATATTTATTAAAGCTCGAAATCAATCAGTGTTGCAACTATTTCATGGTTCAAATTATTTAAAAAGTGGGAGATTTATATTTTCTGTTTCTATTTATCGTTATTGTATTCTTTATTTTTACAGATTTCCCTCAGCAAATGATGCATGGAGAAATGACTGGATAAAAATAATAAGGGAGAGTAGACACGAAAATAATTGGAATCCATTAAAATCAAGTGTAATCTGCAGTATACATTTTGAGAAGCATTGTTTGTATTCAACTAAAGGCGGACTTCCTTTCTCTTCCTTTACTACTTTTCAATTTCCTTGTCAATTAGCTAAAATCATTAAATTTTCTATTTAATAAACCAGTTGTAAATATTTTTATATCCAGTGTGTTTTATTTATTTTACCTTTATTTTAACAATATCCATCACAAAAACTTATAATAAAATAAACCCTAAGTTCAAGGGAGATCTTATTGAAATATTGTTTATAAATGGGTAAAATTTTCCTTCATCTGGCATCCCTTTACACACGCACACATAGTTAGGCAGCCGCCATTGTGGTGCTTCAACAATTTCTTTGTGACGTTCCGTCCGCCTTTTTTTCTATGTCCATGACATCGTATAGTGGAATGCCTTTGCTAGAGGGAGATAAATATACATCTTCAGTTATGCCGATGGCACGTGACTATACCTTCATTCGCCGGCCGCCATAAGATGGCGGGCGCCGGCGTCGAAAAAAATAAAATAAAAATAGGTTGTTTGGTGAACTTACGCATAAAATTACACATTTTTGTCTTTAACTTTTGGAGTATAATTTGTACATCGTCTGAACACCCACGACGACATGCTTTCTTTATGTTTCGCACAGGTTTCACACACGATATAAATTAAAAACAAAAGTAGCGTCGCGCGGCAGGTTGGTGCGTAACTAAGCGCGATGTTGTCAATTGCCTTCATTTCATGTTGTCATTTTAGAGCGCGGACAACGTATCTATAGTTTTATACATCATTGCATATATCTCGATTCATATTTCGTTAGTAAGCTATTATTGCTATGACACTTGATGAAGAGGAAAAAGAAATAATAGGTAATTAAAGCAGGTTCGGCAAAGGAGAGGTTTGAACGAGACGTAAGCGCCGGAACTGCAAATCGACGACGCAACACGACCCACCGCAGTTCGTGATCATAAAAAGAATACAAAACGGCTCGTGTTGATAACTTGATACGGTGATGATTCCTATCCGAGTTGATGAGTGTTATCTACTCAGTGTAAAAATCTACATTTGTTTTGTGAAGTGAAATAAACTACAATTGTACAAGAAAACTCGCCTGTAATAGATGTAGGGAGGAAATCATATATTTTTTTATTTCAGTTGGCAACACAATAGCCAAATTTACAACAGTTAATTTTTGTGTTTAAAATAAATAGATACCTACCTACGTCTGCAATTCAAGGTTGTAGATAGAAACATTTGTTTTTATTCTTATGAATAAATTTATAAGGATTGCAGTTCTTAATATTATTATATCATTAATAGTATAATAAATTGGCGTTGGCGTGTACGATAGGTATTAACGTACGTCGTCGAAATAACAATTTAATTGTTGTTGTCAGACAGCAAGCAACTTGGGAGACTTCAAAATTTTTATTAGAAAATTCTCTATTTTAATCTGATAGGTACCTACCAAAATTTTTTGTGAAATGATTGTTACATCATGCCATTTTTAATGTTGCATATAAAATATCCATGAGGTTTTTCCACCCAGGGGTAAAAAACAGATGAATCAAATGTGATCACTGATCACTTCAATTAATTTCTAGTCGCGACACGAAATTGCGTATTGGATGAAGTGTGATAAATAATATTAAATGTATCATTTTTGAATGATAAAGGGTTAAATTATACCTGGATTTAATTATTAAGTAGGTATTTACATATTATTATCATACTTTGTATTATTTACTAACGACCCAACTGTCTCCACCATTAAGTACATGTTACATACACAGGGACAGAGAGCGACTTAGTTTTATACTATGTATTGATAAAGATTATTTAACTACCTAGGTAGATATATTGTCTATACTATTATTATAAAGAGGTAAAATTTGTAAGTTTGTATGTAGGGGGTAATCTTTGGAACTGCTGGTCGGATTTCCAAAATTCTTTTACTGCTACAGGCTATAAAACATCAGGCTACGATTAAATGCAGCCGAGCAGCGGGTGATACCGCGAGAGAGTAGCTAGTTTCTAATAAACTAAATGAATAAGCTTAGTAAATAATTTCATTTATTTAACTTGATTACAATAAAAATTATACGAGTATAACAAGCTATAAGCTTAGACTGTAGACTCATTTGCGTGCGTTCGTGCAGCGGAATGTTGTTGAATTTAAAGATTTTAATTATGCAGATATTTAGTGTATGACGTCGTATAATTGTGTATGGTAAAAAAAAATTTGTGCACGCAACCATTGTGGAGAAATTCACCAAAAACTGATTCCGCTGGGCGAACGTTGTCCTGGCGGAACTTTTTTTAATCCATAGACTTTAGAAGAAAAGAGATGTATCCAAAAATTAGTGTGTATTTGTGTGTAATTGTGTATGTATGAATAAAACCAGTGCATGCATAAACTTCGGAGAAATTCAAGTTTCCGCTACGCGAACGTTTGGCCATTAGCTAGTTTTCATATAAAGCGCTTACATAGAGAGCTGTAGATTTTTACATACGTTGTTTTGAATTTGTGTATATTTGTTTAAAAAACAGATTTAGAAAAAATCGTAGGGTTTAAAAGATAAAAATATAAACGTAAAATACGCTTATTAGGTCTTAGCTCTTAGAGTATGCACTTTAGGGTCTAGATTTTCACGTTTATACAAACCTTGTAAGTGTCTGCAACATGTTGCCAAGTATCAATGATGTTCCGTTAGTAATTAAATAGTTATAGGACAAATTTACCATGAATAGATCACTGTTTACAAAGCAGTCAAATAACACGACGTTCTAAATGAATTGCATGGTAAAATGTATGCCAATAATTAGTGTATTCTTTCAACTATTCACATGCAAAATTTCAGGTCATTAAATTCAGTAATTAAAGAAAAACAATTATAATACTGACAAAGCATCGAAAACCTACATAACCCGACCAAGTTCGGATGGCTACAAAAAAGCGGCCGTGCCATATATCTAAGAAACGTTCTTAACTTTCCAATATAGCATTTATTAATATGGTACATTATCGTACACAAGCGTTAGGAAAAAATAAAACACAGTATCGTACACACGCTCGTGCATGCCTCTATTGGTTAAATAGTGTAATAAAAAATATTGGTTAAATAGTGTAATAAGCTACAATATGATAAATATTTACCTAAACAGTAGTACTTAAGTACTTACATGTGGTAAATATTTAATTTCCCTAAGGGGTCTATAGTTAGAATCCTGATCCGTGAAATCTTCAATAGAAATTAGCTGTATGAATTTTATTTGTCTTAAATATAATTAGATTATATCTCAAATCTCAAGCGCATACTTAAATAAAGTACCTACGTAAATAGTACCTACTTTCTGTCATAGTCAAATACATTTAAAAAAGTAGGTGTCCAAAAATAAATGACCTATAAATTATTTCGAAACAACAAGTGTGTTATCACCTGTACCAATTCAATACCGGTATTATACTGTAAATTTTGGGATGTTACCTAAATATATTGAACAGCCGCTTTTTTGTAGCCATCCGAACTTGGTCGGGTTATGTAGGTTTTCGATACTTCGTCAGTATTATAATTGTTTTTCTTTAATTACTGAATTTAATGACATGAAATTTTGCATGTGAATAGTTGAATGAATACACTAATTATTGGCATACATTTTACCATGCCATTCATTTAGAACGTCGTGATATTTGACTGCTTTGTAAACAGTGATCTATTCATGGTAAATTTGTCCTATAACTATTTAATTACTAACGGAACATCATTGATACTTGGCAACATGTTGCAGACACTTACAAGGTTTGTATAAACGTGAAAATCTAGACCGTAAAGTGCATACTTTAAGAGCTAAGACCTAATAAGCGTATTTCACGTTTATATTTTTATCTTTTAAACCCTACGATATTTTCTAAATCTGTTTTTTAAACAAATATACACAAATTCAAAACAACGTATGTAAAAATCTACAGCTCTCTATGTAAGCGCTTTATATGAAAACTAGCTAATGGCCAAACGTTCGCGTAGCGGAAACTTGAATTTCTCCGAAGTTTATGCATGCACTAGTTTTATTCATACATACACAATTACACACAAATACACACTAATTTTTGGATACATCTCTTTTCTTCTAAAGTCTTTGGATTAAAAAAAGTTCCGCCAGGACAACGTTCGCCCAGCGGAATCAGTTTTTGGTGAATTTCTCCACAATGGTTGCGTGCACAAATTTTTTTTTACCATACACAATTATACGACGTCATACACTAAATATCTGCATAATTAAAATCTTTAAATTCAACAACATTCCGCTGCACGAACGCACGCGACTCATTTATTCTTACAATAGACATGCATATATTATATTTCTATGTATAATAACAAAAAAAAACATGATTAGACAAAAATAAAATACATTTTCTATATTCACTTGCCACCTTTTTGTTTCAAGGCTTGTATGTACATTTCTAAGGATTTCTGCACTTTAGGATGTCCTACAAACATTAAGAATTCTTGAGTATCTTGGGTACGGTTGTCCATCATCCACTTTAAAGGAGCTTCCCTGATTTTCTGTTTGGTAAGGAAACGAGCTAATGGTGGGATCTTGTCGAACTTCTTGATGAATTGCTTACATTTAGCAATTGCATCTGCTTTATCTGATGCAGTTTCGTCGATTAGACCAACCTGAAATTTGGGAATAATATTTTTAAGTTAATTATTTTACTTATCCACGAAAGGGTTGTTGCTGGTCTGATATTCCACGTACGAAGGTAGACGTTAAATTGCAACACCACTTTCGTAAGGACTACAAATAAGTCATATAAAACGAATGTAAGGTTTAGTTATATTTCAAACCCTGTACGGTACCTGTATTAAATTTTTAGTAATAGTGAAAAAATTTAAAATTGAAATATTGAAAAAAAAACGGCTGGATTCGGGTCGAGCTCATGGATAAATAAATAATTGTTGATTGTTTACTGGAGGTCTTGGCGTTTTATATAAAGAAAACTTAAATCACCTTCAAGGCTTCATCAACCGAGAACATCTTGGCAGTGGTAAGAGCCAGCTCAGCCTGCCTCTGCGGTATAGTGTTGACCATGGTGTGCATGAACCAGTTGGGAGCCACAATACCGAGCGCTGTCTCGTTCAGACCTATGCTGTATTTCCCACTCATCATCACGCGGTATTCACATGACATTGCGAGAAGGCAACCGCCTGCAGGAGCGTGGCCCTGGTGATGACATTCAAGGAATTAATATTAATAAAAATTAGCCGATTGTAATTTGTTTATGATTAAAATTGCTATATGATACAAATTACATGTCGTCTGTCCCCACTTTTCAGTCAACTTATGAAATTAAGTGTGATTGGATACTTTGCCGGACCTGGCAATCAAATGTGAAGCCCCTTACTGAGCACACGAACTTATCACCAGGTGATAAATGAGAATGTCAAAGATTATTATTAGTGTCTTTTCTTACGTCAAATATTAAAACAGACAGATTTTCATAATACATCAACTAATATCTATGTCCATCATTGAGGATTGTTTATTCAAAATATATAAAAGTAAGGCGATTATTTTTTCTCCCGAGAGATAGGCAATTAACTTTAAGAGCTCTCTAAATAAATTGCTTTTGACTTATTCAACAACTCTAAAATGGAATATGGCTCATTATCAATCCAATCTGTTAAAACTGGCTTATATGAATTAAACTGCTCAGCTAATAGAAATGTAGAAAATATTATGCTTGTGACATTTCTACACAGTAATATATTTAATCAATAAAAATACCATCTATGATATGAATAAAACACTAGAGCAAGCAATTAAAAATAAATAATTTTGTCATGGTAATCTTAAATTTCTCTAAGACCTGAAATTAAATGAGGGAAAACCATGGAAGTTTATTCTGTAGTGATCAAGTTATAGTGGACCAGTTCTGACTTCTGGTAGTAGATAAGCATTTATTCGATGGTAAATTTTACATTGTGATGAATCAACAATATTATTGTCCTAAAAACTTACTTATTATAATACAATCCCATATCAGCATGTAAGCAATGAAATAAAATGTTCATGTTATTAGATTAGTTAATTACTAATTTATTTAAATGCACCTTGTATAACATGTTTCAAATTGCACTGTTTTCATTTCGTACAATTCCTTGATAGGGTTACCAAATAATTTTAATTTTATTTAATCAAGTTCTAAATCAAAAATTTTAAATTAAGAATGCAGATAAAAAGTTCTTACATTGATGGCTGCAGCTGTGATAAAACTGGATCCGAATAGCTTGATCCATACTTCTTGTAATGTATTCCAGAATGTTTCAACTCTCTTCATGTCAGGTTTGTACATCTCCATTATATCTAACCCAGCAGAGAACACAGTAGGTGATGCCTAAAAATTTATTAACATTACGGTTTCTTTTTGATAAGAAAATAATTAAGCTTAGTACTAAATTAGCACCCAATTAAATCAAAAAGACCACCTTCATTGTGTTAATTTGAAAATGGAACAAACAAAAAAGTAAACTACTACTACTTACAGATGTCAAGATCATTCCTTTGCATTTGTTGTTGGTAACTTCATCAAGTGCCTTGTCCATTGCTTGTAGGAGGTCCAGGTTGAGGCTGTTAACTGGCAGCCTCTGCATAGTTACAGTGGCTATTCCTTCATTGTCAACAGCTGTATCCACGAGGGGACCTGAGCTAGACATAGCTCTAAAACTAGGCACAACCCTTCTCGTGGCATTGCTAACTAATTGCCTAAGTGGAAACATTCTGAAAAAAACTAAATTATGACTGAAGGTTCAATTAAATTCCGAAAAGTAATTGTTAGTTCCGTATCAACTTATAAACTGATTGTGGTTCCAAAGGTTAGTTTAATTTATATAAAATCTCGAAGACAATCATCGCAAAAATAAAAAAGATAATAGGTTTAACCTGTTTACGAACCTTGAATAGTTGAATAAGTAACGTTATGTTTGGTTACAAAGTCCAAAATAGTGGTTTATCAAGTGTCAAATTGATGGACTTTGTCCCCTCTGAGTAAATGATAAATAGGTATCTAGGTACGCCGCTTCTTACAGTAGGCGCGATCAGCCGGCAAACAGCATTCGTATATTCGTAAACTATTAGTTTTCGCCAGGCTCTTCAATCTTAGCAGTTGTAGCGGTCATTGTAGAAAAAATATACGATTAAATCGGAAGCCGGCAATAGTATGAACATCCCGAAAAGCTTAACTACTAAATATCAGTCCATGACTACTATTTACAACTATTTATTTTTTTATTTTTACTACTACTATTTTGAGATTGATTGTACATTTAGCAGTACATACTGCTATTATCTGATTATTAACTTATCGCTTAATTTCTTCATACGCAGACTATTTTATAAGTTTCAATAATAAACAAGTAAGAATTAGCATCTCATTAATCGTGGCAAAATAATGTAAAAAATTGTGAAACGACACGACACGACAGAATTTTGTACCTACTTATAAGTAAAGTGTAATTGTGTTATTTATTGTGTTGCCTAGTTCTAAATGTCACCGCGTCAGACTCATTCTTGCCAAGCTGTATCATCTATATTTCAAGGAAAAGAAAAAAAAACAGCTGTCTGTCTGTCACTCTGTCAGTTGTCAGTTATTATTTGTGTTTGTTTTAAGAGCCGGGTTTATTTTGTGTATCCCTCACTATTTCAGCTTGAGTTGAGTTCATAGACATATATATTACTTTGAGTTACTTACAAACTTACAAATAATCACAAACGTTCCTTCATTATCATTTATTGACTGTGATCCATCGTTATGGACGTACGAAAGTGCTGTGTTAAGAATTGCTCGTCAACGAATGCTACTCATCGCCTTTTCTGCTTTCCAAAGGACGATAAGTTGAGAGAATTGTGGCTTTCATATGTAATACCAACGAACAAAGAGCTCAGTGGATTATCTAAGCATCAGTTGTTGTCTAAGCGTGTATGCCAAAATCATTTTGACCGCTATCAATTTGATGGCATGGGAAACCGGCTTCGCTACGGCTATCCTTGCTTGTTTTCTGAAAAAGAAATGTCTTTTGGTATTCCACTTAGTTCAACTGGTAAGTTACCTAGCTATTTCTTGGTAGATTTCAAACATGGTTGATTGATACATCAATGTTTTCTTATAATTTCTTTCTTACAGTAACATTTATGAACAGTGTTTGTTTTATTTCAGTGAATGACCATTTAAGTGATCACAATTACTATTTGTCATCTGCACCTGAAAGCCCCACTTTGGTCACTTCACACATTGGAGGTTGGTATTGAAGCAGTTATTTATGAGCGTAATGTAAAGTTATTCAATTAAAAACATCATGATGCTTAACTGAGCAGTGGTACCTTAAAATTTTTTGGTTAATGCTAATTTCATGACACAATAAAATAAACCTCAACATTAATATACCACTGTCCACTGACCAGTGTGTGATCTTAATTACTTAAGTTTAATACCAGAATACACAGTCGGGCAGCTCACTGCGCACTAGTTACATTTTCAATGGTCCACATTATGTCAACAGTGATATTTATAACTATGATATAATACAACACTGGTCTGAAATCACCACAGTGTTGTGTTTCACCGCATGAGTGAGGTTACTGCAGGTGTTATGCTTCAGTCCGTCCCTCCTTCCCCAATCCCCAAATAAATGGAGAAATAAACATGGGAAAGAAAAGATATTAAGTAGGTTCAGCTAACTACTTTGCCTACAGTATTGGGGCAAAACTAACTAATGTGGCAGTCCAATATATAATCTTCTATCTCTTTGTCAATTCTCTTTCAGATTTGTTTGTTAGTTTACATGCAAAAGCATTACTTACTTCCATCCTTAATTACAAACTTACACTATCATAGTTTTAATAAGTTCATTATATCATTTTCAGAGAAAGATACAGTAGAATCTGATGTCAAGAATGATCTCGAAGATAAACAAGCAACCTCCAGCTTAATTGTGAACCCAGTAGCCGTAGGTAAGTACCATCATCAGCCACAAGTCATCCATTATTTCACATAGGGTTATCCTGATCTTTAGGTGTTTGTCCTAGCTGGACTTGTCAGTATGTCGCCTCCATTCATAACCATTTCAACCCCAGCTACCACCAGCTCTATCCAGCACCCACTGCCACTTCAGCTTGGATTGGATATAATGATATATGGATATAATTAACAATAAACAATAACAACCTAAATTATTTAAATAAAATATCGCGATTATAAGAATAATGTTGCCATTATAGTATGAATTCGACTGCACGGTTCGCGATGGCTAGGCAACTGGCCGCCGTGTAACGAGTCTTGGGTTTGATTCCCGCACGAAATCTTTTTTTGTGTGATCTGGGTTTGAGGTTTGATGTGTATGTGAAATTGTATGTTTGTAAACACACCCACAGAACAAAATTCTAGTGTCAGGCAAAGTTTTATTTAAAAAAAAGAACAAAAAACTGGATGTGCGCCATAAAGGATTTTGTTACAAGCATTAAAAAAATGTAAACTTAATTCACCGTAAAGTGAAGTCATCAACCAGCACCGGATATAAGCTTGATTGCTTACATTTACTTTAGTTAGATGAAGAAAACTCAATTGGAAAATCTAAAAACCTACTTCTTTTTGTTTTAGTGTCTCGCAATCCTGGCTGAAAAGCAACCTACGGCTAAAGTTGTTAAAATGTTGCTAATATCTGCGACAGAAGTCGCAAGGCGTTTAAGAAAAAATATAATAGCATAAATCATCAACTAGTAAGTTTTATTTAAGTTTACGAGAACCGTGCTTCGGATCGACTGGAGTGTTACCATGGCCTCGTAGAAAACCGCCGTGATAGTTGTATCACGTTTGTAAGTCGAGCCAATCCTTTCCCTCACCAATACCAAATTCTCCAAATCCCCAAAAGGTCGGCAACGCACTCGTAATTCCTCCGTTGTTGAAGGTGTCTACGGGCGGCTCTGATTGCTTACCATCAGAAAATATAAGTCTGTTCGTTTGCCGATCTATCACATAAAAAACACCTACACCGATAGATAAAAATGTCTCAAAAGTGTTTAGTCCCGGGATTTATTAATAGGTACACATGATAAATAATCTATTCTAAATTGTCTTTTTTTTCAGGAAGTTCACGATATTCAAGCTGCTCCAGGGAAATTGCCGTCGCTCGAGCTTTAATATGAAGAAGTGCTGCTACAATCCATAGAAAACAAGTTAAGTCTTCAACATTATTGGGATGGTGGCTCAGTCAAAAACTAGATTCCACAAATAAATCAAGTAAAGTATCTTAAAATAACGATACTTGATTGATTTAATTATAAGTTTCATTCAAGTAATTTTGGTACTGGATTTGCTACTGGAGCTACTAGTGAGTAATATGAATATTTTTATATTTTACATTGTTCAATTGTTATTAAAATGTTTTCATATACATTCTTGACATTGTTTTAATTAAAATCGAGCTATAGTTTTTTGTACCTGATATAAAAAAAGAAATATCTAATGACTTCCTTCCCTGGGTGGGTTCTGGAGGGAGTCGTGGTGACTCAGTGCGCTTAACCCGCAACCCCAGCTGAACGTTAGCTATGTAGGACCCTCTCTGCCTCTAATAGTGACATGTAAACAGCGGCTCATATTGTGTACAGATTGTCCAGTCAACTGATGGTCTGACTGTCCAGGCAATACGTACTTAGGTAAAGTCATGAGCTAACGGTCACATGTAAACAGTGAATAATGTATTTTTTTATTGTCGATATTGATTGACATTGTTCATTGTCCAGGACGACAATATAATTATTTTGTTAGTAATAAATCTAATATTTGAAAAAAATAACACTAGAGCCTTTTTTTACCTCCGATCAGTTTGAAAGCTCTTTTGTGACGGGGAAGTCATCAAATGACTTTACCGCTCAGGGTGGCGCGGAAGGGAGTGTCCGACTTACTGACTAAAAACACCCCCGTGCCTTCTCCTGTTCTAGGCTGAGACCGCGGTACCTTATGGCCTACCCTACGGCTCCGCAACCCCAGCTACACGCCTATAGTCTGTGATGGTCTTTTGGCTCTTTGAGGCAGTATTTTGTAAGCCCTATGTGTCATCTATTCATATACAGATAGTACCTAATTCTGTATTTTATAGTAAAAGTCCGCACTCACGACAAAACAGTGGTAAATATTGCTTCACGTCGGTTTTCTGTGAGGCCGTGGTGTCACTGGTCGAGCCGGCCTATTTGTGCCGAAGCATGACTCTCCCACAATTCCTTAGTTTAGTTTTCTTTGGTTAGGTTTAGTGTTTATTACTCTTTATGAAAAAGAAGGATGAAAAGCGATTGCATGTAGCAGAGATGAGAATGCTGAGATGGATGTGTGGTGTGACGAGAATGGATAAAGTGAGAAATGAGTATATTAGAGGAAGTTTGAAAGTGGCGCCAGTGACTGAAAAGTTGAAAGGGAACCGTTTGTCTTGGTATTGTGAAAAGGAGGGATGAAAAGCATGTTACAAAAAAAGCCACGAGTATAAATGTGGATGGATGGAGAGGGAGAGGGAGACCAAGAAAATATGGATGGATTGTGTGAGAAGTGATATGGAAGACAGAGGAGTTAGCGATAGCGTGACGAGTGACAGGACAGAATGGAAGAAAAAAAACATAATTATTGCGCCGACCCCAAATAAAACGGGACAAGGGCAAGAAGATGATGATGATAACCCTTAATTGTATTAGTTTTTTCCTTAATAATTTAAGCATGGACCAGCAAACCAACTCGATGAGTCTCTGGACTCGAAGCAATGAGACAGTACATCATCATCAGCCTGTTGTCGTCGCTGCTGCACATAGGCCTCCGCAATTGCACGCCACCGAGCTCGATGTTAGCTCTTCTCATCTAACCACTGCCAACCACCCCGCGCATATCATCAGTCCACCTAGACGTGGTCTCCACTCTAGAACACGTCTTCTCCAACGGTGATTGGTTGTTCGACGGCTGTGACCTGCCCACTGCCACTTCAGTTGTCTAATCTTTTGGGCTGTGTCGATAACTTTGATTCTCTGCCGGATCACCTCGCTTCGTATACGAATCCTCAGAGAGACTCTCTCAAAGAATATCCCTTTCCATACCTCATACATAGCTAAAGTACGATTGGGTGTTTTTTTTATTTTAAAAATTCAAATTACTCAGATCCTTTGTAGCTTGCTATAAGTGAAAATAACTGGTAAAAATAAGAAATTTGAAATTCAATGAACGTGATTTTTAACTGTCAATGTGTCTGTCACTATCCTTGTCACTGACAGTGTCACTGCAATTCGGCTGTCACTAATTCTTGTCAAAATAAGGCTAAATTAGGTACTGATTAGAGTGACTTCTAGGTTTTAGATTAGATTTATAGTAAAATTATTTAAAATCGATAGATATTTGCTCAATATGTAGGATAGTACAGTTAAGATTGATGTTAATTGTTTGTATGTATGAAAACAAAATGTCGTTGGAACAAACAGCTTGCGATGGTAAGTGTTCGTTGTTGCATTCGATTTATTTTTGTTGGCGCCGGACTTTACATTATGAAGTTTTTTAATCAATAGTACAGTTCATTTTGTCTTTTTATTTTATATAACCTCACAGTAGCATATAGTTTTCCAAAGATTTATTGAGTAACCTTTTAATTGTAAACTATTCTCGCTAACCAAAAGTTTTGGGTGGTTTCAGATTTAAAGGCCTTCGAGAGACGCCTAACTGAAGTTATAGGATGTCTGCAACCAGCTACTATGAGATGGAGAAGTATGTATTGACAATCTAACCAAACTTTTTATACAATCAAATTTTTATAATCATTGCTTGCTTATTTCGTGTTTGCCTAATTAACAAGTCGATTTTAAAGAGTTCCGTCTATCAGAAATACTCACAGAAATATTTGTGCATATCATGCTGAATATCATTTTCCTCTATTGTTGATTTCATTGCTATTCTGATTAGACTAGCAAAATCTTTTATATGGGAAAAGTTTTAATCTAAGAACTAAGCCTAAAGTCCTTATTATGAACAGTGTGTGCTGTCCTCAACAGTCCCATTGTAATGTTAGCCAAGCATTATTCTAACTGAATAATGCTTGGCTTCAAGCAAGTTACTCAGTATTGTCAACTAAGTCAAGTTGGGTAGTAGCTCTAAAAAGTTTATATTTGTATTTATATTGTTGTGGAAGATTTATATAATTACCCTCAAGCAAAACAAAATGATTTCAATTTCTGTTGTAAAATAACTAAACTGTGATTAAAATTAGTTAAAATGGTATAAAATTTGTATCCTAATATGATAAATTAGTACAGGTTTTCTTGAATAGCTCATAATTATGATAAGCTACACATTTTAGTGAATTTAAAAAGGTAAATAAATTGTTATAGCTGCAAAAAAATACCCCTGTTCCATGAAAGTATTCATAAAATTCTCATTTGGTTTCAGTTCTACTGACAGTTGTGTCTGTTTGCACAGCAATTGCAGCATACCATTGGTTGATGGATCCGCTCACACCAGTAGTCTCCCTCACACAGTCTCTATGGAATCATCCATTTTTTGCCTTTACATCCACTTTTCTAGGTAAATATTATCATTTATATATTTAGGTATTTTAAGGGCCTGATTTTTCAATGGTTAGATTAAAGTTATCTGGGGAATAATTATGATGCTGTTGCATCATCAGAATGTTTGTATAAGACAGTGACAGCAACAATTTTAATCCTCAGATAACATATATCTGATTATTGAAAAATCAGCCTTAAATCTACAATTATAGCTGGCTTTTACCAGCAACTGTTCTTTGTTATTTCAATTGCTCCTAGTTTTGAATTGTATATTACTAGTTAACAAGTTACATTTGATATGTTCTAGTTTTGCTATTCATGATGGGAGTGCACAGAAAGGTAGTAGCGCCAAGCATCATCACGGCTCGCACGCGCTCCGTACTCAACGACTTCAACATGTCGTGTGACGACACAGGCAAGCTCATCCTCAAGCCACGCCCCGCCAACACCTAGCACATCATCAATGTACATATTTTTTAAGCTAAGAATAAATTGTTTCATTGTTTATACGACTTTTACTTAAAATAAAACAACAGTTTACAAGAATCTATCCAAGTTTATTTATTACTTATAACTTTGGTGTGTTTATTATATACAATAAATAAATGATAACTAAGAAAAATAGGTCTATCATACAAAACCACCTTAAACAATAACAAAATGTTGCAGTTCAAATAATGCATACAACAATTTCACGTAACCACATAGTAAATATTATGATTGCATTTTATTAACTTTCTAGAAGAATTTACTAAAGATTTTGCTAAAGTATTAACAAATGCCAGTGCTATAATAAATTCTGAGTAAATAATGCAAGTACCTAAATTGTTTAAAGTTTTAACGTAAACAGTTTTAAATAATATAACGGTTTCTTTCTACTCACAAACACTCACGGCGACTTTAGAGAGTCCCTCCTATAATTTAGTGTTCTACGATCATAAGCATTCAATACTTTTAGTTCCGCCCATCTAAACACTACTAACTTTGCTCAAAGTATGCTTAGACTCAACATGGAGTGAATGGAATTATTATATCTTGGAATAATTTTAGAAAACTTATGTATTATTAAAAAAATATTGTATAAAATTTACTTATTTGGGCAGTGTTAATTTAGGGAACGATATTATTTATTCAAACCTTCAATTCCTCACAGCAAATGCAATTCGGAGTGCACACCTGAGTCGTACCTATACATGCAAGCAACAGTCGCAATTACAAGATAATATTCAACAAGGGTACTATATTAAATATAATAATAACTATAATAAAGTATTGTGCTGACTGTGCATAGTATAACTAACCGTCCTAAGTTCATAATTTTACTTAATCTAACAAACTATACACGTAAGACATGTGTTTGTGCTTAGTGATATACTGACAGCTATGTTACGTACCAATGAATATGAATTGAATGGGTTAACAAATTAGATTTTAATTAACATTTGTATATTTAACATTACGGTCTACACGACGAGCCAAGTTTTTTACCGATCTGAAGAAAAAGTCATATGGGAAAATGGACAACAGCGGATTACAGAACAGTCAAAAATATTGGCTCGAAGCATATTCACACCAGTCAAATCAAATATATGTATTCAACGAAATTCAAGAAATGACGTTACATAATTCAAATTGCTTTCAATCTTCGTCAACTCGTTCGTACAATAAATTCCGTTTACAATTTGAGTATCTACTTATTCCAGAGAAGATTGAAACAAAAACTTCAATCTGATCAATAAATCGAGATTTTGTTTACGTAGAATAAATTCAACATGCAAAATATTTTGAGCGTAATCAGCGGCTTTAAATATAATTAAAAAATATAGTATATTATCTTGTTCCAGCACTCTGGCTAGCCAGTCAAACTAAACTGGGATAATGATGTAAATACTTATAAACTTGTAAATAAAAAATACACGCTTAATTGTTATACTTAAATATGAGTTTATACATCAAATAGTGAATCATATTAGGTACATTATTCCTATAAATTTCAATTTAAAATTATTATGTTAGTTAACATCAAGGCAGTGGTACATGCATAAATTCAACATTGTTAACACGACCTACTTAACATTTTATAATAATTTTAGAAAAGGCATTGAACTTACTCACATCTGTTATAAGGTACGCCTATTTCTTTCATACATTAAGGCATATCATGATTCATACATTTCTGGTTTCTTAATCAAAAGAAATGGAACTGTATTACGAGAAATGCAATTAAATATTCGCGAGTGTCTATCTCAGTCTTTTAAAAAATAATACATCGCACGAATTATTTAGTGAGCGAAATAAGTAGTAATTAATGAACGTTCTGAATAAATCTTTGGAACCGAATACATACGCATGTTGCCCTCCTAGTACGGAGGTGTGCGTAATAATAAAATTTGTGCTAAGTATAATAAAATTTACAATATCTATTAATACCACCCAACACTGGAAGCATGTTTCCTGAGTACATCTAGCAATCATATCCTTTTCTCCTAAGTATCAAGTAAAATACATAATATAATGACTAAATACCTACCTAATAACGTTATATCAACTTGACAATATAAATCAAATGTCCATAGCATTCTGCGACACTTAGGTGCATCATCAATTCATCACAAAGGATACGCCACAGTACTCGTCTAAACAATAACAATAAATTCTTGAATGAATTGCACTAATAAATTGTGTGGTAACCAATCAATATGATCCAAGGCAGTTTTATATCGTAGAATAAATGTAAATAATACTCGTTTTCATTACATTATAAGTTAGAGGTGTCTAAGCCTTCCTATCATAGTTTTACAAGCTAACTTACGAGTTGCGACTGACAACTAGACTTCTGTAGAGACGAAGGGGGTCGAATGAAACCTTGCATGAACGTGGGAGTGTAGGGATAGCTTCTCAATATTATTACATTTCAAATTTTTGCTTTTAAAGCAAGCTAACTACATAAAGTAAACAAAATATAATTTTGATAGATATATTTCTAATTTAAATATCTATTTAATTTTCTCCATCTTCCTTCGCGAATTTAGTAAGAGTAATTGATTCAGTAGATAACGATAAAATACAGGTTCTTATACATTTATTGTTCACCTGTAGGAATGATAAGATTGAATAATATTTAGACGACACGTAACATTCTCTCATCCAAGTGACACAGTGTATGACCATATCCCACAATGATATGAATTTCTTATTTATCATGAATTATTAGCGACTGCCTCGTCAGATATAGATACAGTTACCCTATCTATGTTAGGATGAATGTAATCTTATTTGTAGGTATTAGGTATATTTAGCGTTCGTAAGTCGTGGTCCATCGTCATCCGACGTTCGAATTGTATCGATGAGAGATGGTGTTAGACGTATACTAAGGTATGTATCGCTAAGGAGCAAAATAAAGGCGTGCCAACGAGGTATCCCCACAGGTAATTATTGTCGCATCATTCCCCACAGCAACATGCAAGGCTCGAGTGCTGTCCTCACGCAGCCAGCAGCGTCCTTATATTCTTCGGCGTCGACTGGTGGTTCAAATGTTTCGTGGTATACCTCAGCGCATTCAGCAGTGGTTCCGCCTTCGTCGGGGGCTGCTGCTGCAGGAACTTGACGCAGCCCTTCACGTCTACGGACGAGGAGCGGCAGAAGGCACCGGACGGGTGCACCCAGTCGTACAGGATGATGAGCCCCACCATCACGCGCAGCACTAGCAGCGACGTCTCTTCGCGACTAAACTGAGCGACCAGTTTCCTGGAAAATTTATAAAATATGTGTCAGCTTCAATCTATTTATATTAATTTATTCAGGGAAATATGTGTAATTAAACGCCGCGACCTAGTCTCGGGTGAAACGGCTTTAAACTAGAAACACAGATTTGTATTAGAATATCTTGGATGTCCTAATTTTCGGGTTAAATAAGCTACGTGCGCTTTGATATGGCTACATGTAAATAAATAAGTTCCGTTCGTGTTTGTTTTGGGTCCCGCGTTATGTTTACGCAAAGAAACTGAATTTACGACACAATAAAGATACATACGACTGGCGTGCTATGGATTTGGGTCGCCGCCCACGGGCCGTCGGATCCCGTATGCACCGCACAGACAGGTATGTCCACTAAACTGTACAATGCTGAATGTTACTTGTACCTTTATTTGTGCACGACGACGGAAGCCACGTCTGCTAATCTGAATAACAGCGATTCATTTCGGAGGTTTTGTTAAAGAGTTTAATCTCGATACTCGATACGTTTAACGTTCTACATTTCTGTCTAATAACAGGAAGATGTATATCTATCTGTAATTTTGTATCTAGTTCCTGTGCTGGAATTTAACTCGGTCGCGATTCAAGCAGAACCTACCTACTAGCAAAGCGTAATATTATCACAACACATAAATCAACTAAATTTATCTTACTGAATATTTAGTTGCTGGGAGAAAATGAGAATATTTTGACGGTTAGTTTAAAGTTACGTAGTCTTACGTAGGTACCTACATTTACTAGCTGAGTACACAACAGTGATGGTTTTATCTTATTACAATCTAGGCATCGAGCGACACTCGTATCACTAGCTTTCAAAATGTATAGGTACCTTAGAGCTCTCATCAAATATGCACATACATTATCATGTGAATATATCAAAAGGAAAATATTTTGTCTGAACATTGTTTTAGGTAGGTAGATATTTGATAAAATCTGAGTCTGAAATGGAATTAAAGGCTAAGAATTAAGAATGACTTTCAGGCACCAGTAGGCCTACCTACTAGGTAGGAGAAAGAGGGACGGAGCTATAAAAGATGTATAGCACCATCCCTCTTTTTCGCCCGAAAGATTCACTTTAACACTTCATGGTAGGCCCTCAGGTAGCTTTCTTAGCTGCAATAATGAACCGTGGTGGCCGACCCGAGAAGGAACGGGGAAGTTTTAGTCAGTAATAGTCTGACACTCCCTTTCACCCCATTCAGGGTGGGCGACGTAATTTGATAATGTTAAATAAGGTAGATTTATTCATAACTTTGTATTCTCAAATTCAAATCAACATAACAAATAGTACTGTAACTGTACTAATTCTTACTACAATAGTTAAGGAAATAAATTACGGAAATAATTACTGAGACAACACGATAACTTTTAATTGGTGACTCAATTTTGACAGTTGACTATGACTATAAGGTTCGGCCGAGTGACTACAGAATGCTTCGAAACTGTTCGCAAGTACTTTGGTACAAGCATCGCTGACAAATCGGTGGACAAAAAATGGCGACGATAATAATTAATTCTCATCACGTTTGTATTGTCAATTTTAATTTTAATTTCAATGAAGGAACTGCTAATTTTGTATTTATGGCGATGGCGAACCATTCGAGTAAGTACATATAACGCACTTATATTTCTTACACCTTTGTATTAATCGACATATTTCTACTAATTCAAGGAAATTCAAAGAGAATCACGTTACATTACAGTGTGTCATAGGATATCATTCGGTTCGTTTACAAAGATAACAGACTCTATTCTAAATTAAATAGGGCATGTTTTTGCCTTTCGTCTCCAATGATTCAATAATGTTGTCATTTTACTGTTTACGTGTTTACGTATTTCGATAGGAACATAATCCTATAGGCAGGTTACGCGTAATTTATCATTAAACTGATTAATACAAGGATACAAAAGTTTAAGAACATACGCATTTGTACATTTGGAACGCGAAGGGGTGCTATTACGTCTGTAAATGAAAGGCAGAACCAACAAATAGCTAGCATCAATTATGTAGCACATAATATCGGAGCTATATCACAACTACATACTACAGCGCGGAAGCGGTCACTTGGGGCCAATCGATGCGAGGTAGTCGACGAAATTACGCGTACAACCGGAGGAACGCGTATGGTATTGATAAGGAAGTGCAACAGAGGAAACTGTTATCTATGGCTTAATTAAAAACGTACATATTCCCGTCAAACTGTTTCTAAAGTAGAAAGCGAACTGTTCATAACAAACTGAACGTAAAATACAACAGAACAGAGTAACCTGTACGAATGTTTAGTCTGAAGTGTTGGAACTATGTAAACAAGTCCATCCGTAAGCTAAACAGACAAAAACTTGCTGTTCAGCACAGCCAGGAAGCAAGTAACAAAGAAGAATAAAAAGCGTAGGAGGTCACTTTACACGAATGGCACTCGACTGGGGCCTCGAGAAAGTCTCTAAGTAATTGGGAAATAAAACTTGACGTTCAATGGCGCCCTACGTTTACGGTGACGCTGATGTTACAACATTATTATGGCTGTAACGGCATGTGCAATTAATCCGGTGATGCGATATGTGATAAACAAGACACATGTTTTAGTTATCAAGTAACATGTGGCGTGGGTATGAGTGTCGACCTCCACAATTGATTTATTGTCTGCGTTCGTTTTGGAAAACTTCGCCGATAGCACGAAAATACTCGGAAGTCGAGAGCCATCTAAGGAATTGCTTTCTACTCGGAACTTGCAAGCGCATTTCCGATTACCACCCCTAAACAGGCGAGGGGAAGGGTGGCAAATTAGTTTCTCAGTAGTATCTGCTCAATCGCCAATACTCGGGGGAGATGCGATATTTGATAGCAATTTAACATAAACAATACAGCTATTGATCAAGTCCTCAAACATCAGTAATCTGAACGAAACTAATTTTGTCAAAAGCGAAACAACAGTAAGTTGTTTTAAACTGAACCTTAATTATGTATAACTGAAACTTTTAACATTTGGACGTCGGCAGCCTCACAAATTGGTCGGGGCGAGGACGAGTAAGTTTGCGTTAATTAGTAACATGATAATGTCAAAATGGAGTGGTGTGGAGTACACGGAGGATGGGTGATTAGAGAGGTCGTGATAGCTAACGAGAGTGGAGCCGCGCACTCCAAACATAACTGGAGGCACGTGTTGGTACAAGTGACAGCTGATTTATCTTTTATTTATATGTTCCGACATTGTTGTGCTCGACGGTGGGTCGAGCGTATCCATGTCGTGGCCCGACACACGATCTCGTGTAATGAATACGCCCCTATTGTTGCAAGGATAACTCGGACAGCACACTGCGGTGACGATATTACGCACTACCGTACTAGTGTTTACTTTACCACCTGTAAATAGGTACTGTTCGAGAATAAGGAATTCTATTTGGAAATAATAGGGCTTTAGAACAATTGCATATCTATACTAAATCACCAACTCAAAACATATGTATAACAAATAACACAATGTTCGTTAGAAATAGCTGTAAGTAGTAGAATTTACCAGAAGTTTTCAAACTCCATTAATCGTACTATACAGCTGTTTCCCCAGCCAAAGAACTCTGGGACAGATGTCAGAAAATACGTTTAAGAAATGTTTTGTTCAACATTGATCTATCGAACTAACTTCGATAAAGTCTGAACCTATCGCACTGTAGCGTAAATAGATTTTCGAAGCTGGAAACTGTTACAGGTGTACCATATTACAATGGTGTAAAGGTTATATTCGTGAATCAGGTTGTTGTAATGAGAGAATAGTTTTTAGAGGTAGGTTTATGGTGTCGGTCTAGTTTGGAAACGGCTGGAACAAGAGTATTCCATACTCTTTTGATCCCTATGGTTCTGGATACTGGTACAATGTAAACATTATTATACAATGTTGACACCATTTCTTGTTTCACTGCTTTGAAACAAATTTACAACCAAAACGCGAGTGAAAATATAAACAGATTTATGTGAAAGAGTACTAGGCTAGTAAATGCCTTCTAATTATACATTCGAAAACGTACCGAATTCCTCACGAGGAATTGGTAAAGATCATGTCCACGTTTATTTAATAAAAAAAAAAACGGAGAGAGGATTTTTGAAATTCGAATGTAACGGCTATAGTACTTTAATAAGAATCAAAACACTAAAACAAACTCAGAACTCCGGTAAAGAAGAAAACAAGGTTCTTATATTGAAGTGCACAATGAAATAAAAATACACTTACGGGTTCTCTAACATCCTCAGGCAGACTTTGGCCATCGTGCTAAGGGTTTCCGTCGTATTCTCCAAGTCTTGCTGGTTATCATTGACGAACTGGCTGGTGGCTTCTGATAGCACCTTTAGCATCGGCGTGGCTTGCGCGTAGAAGAGAGACATTCTGTTGGCGACCTCTGCCGTTATATGAGGCTCCTCACCAGGAGGTAGCTCTGCGTTGATCAGCCCGCCTCTCGACACGCTCCGTCTGTAGTAACTAAAGTCGTTTTGTATCGCTGGTGTCTTCATCTGTGGAGATGGAATAATATACATTTAGTAGTTCCTGTCTTAAATATCCGGATGAGAATCCGGAAATCCAAACTTATAACTTCGAAAGTAACTCTGTCTGTCTTTTCTTCACGCCTAAACTACTGAACCGATTTCTGTGAACTTTATTACAGACATAGTTTGGAACTCGAAAGGACATAGGATAGGGATTTTTAAACCAAAAAGCAGCAGGAAGTCACTATTCCACGCGAACAAAGTTGCGGGAAAAAGCTATTGTTATTTTGTGTAATATTAATAACACAAAGTCTGGGCAACGCTGGGGTTGCGGGGTAAGCGCAATGAGGCACCGCGACCTCGGCCCAGAGCAGGAGAAGGAACAGGGGGGTTGTTAGTCAGTAAGAGTCTGAGACTGCCTCCCGCCCGGCCCTGGGCGAGAGAAGTCATTTGATGATTTTCCCCTCACAAAAAAAGTCTGGGCAACGACAAAATAGTATCGTTTTTATTAAGTTCATGCACATAAGAATTATGGGGATTAAAAGACATTATGTTCTCATTCTGCTCATACCAACCATATAAATTAATTTCACAATTTAAAGAGTTTTAGGAATTCATTATTGAGAACGGAACCCTTATAAATAATGAGAGGATCCACGCAGATCGTTATATCACTTTCACATAAATTGATGTGACATCTAAAAGCTTCGCCATTTTATACTGAATTTTATGTTTTAACCTTTTCGAGATCCATTTTGAACAATAAAAATGTCAACGTGCTGACGTAATGATGATTAAACTCGACATGTGGACAATAAAAGGTACTTTTTGCGGTACACAATGAGGGGGTGGGTGGACTGGATAGGTAAATACAAAGGGCACGCAAGATTATACTTTCTAGATATGAAGGGCGGACAATGCGAAGATGAATTAGGATGCCGCCCATTCAGCATCGGGGCCCTCAATCAGCTACAATTCCAAGCTAGTAATTTTACGCGCACATATTGTGGATTATTTTTAGTAGACCACACGCAAAGACGAATGCGTGCGCTTGCGATTACTTTGTAGCTAGATAGTGCTTTAACGATACATTGTCTGTTGCATTATAGAAATCGTTAATGTTTCAGCTAAGGACATGGTAATCTCGTAAGTGTTTAATTAGAAGTTTTTTTTTAAGTTTCCTTCTGTAGATTATGTATTGTTACATCCAGTTAAGATCAACGTTATGTAGGTACAAATACAATAACTATAGCTTCTTTACTCATATTGTTTGCAGCGTGCTGTTATGACATATAGCCTATCGAATTCAAAAATAGAAAAATTCCTCAGTAAATGGTCTATCGAATACAAAAGGAATTATTCAATACTTCCAAGTAGGCAAATTCATCAGCTTTATAATATTGGTAAAGATATATAATAATGAATGTGTCTAAGCCTGATACAGCCTACGTGTGCCCAAAAACAGTTAAACAAAACGCCATCTTTTGAATCAATTATCATAAGAATTGAAACTTAAATTCAGAAAAAGATTAAGAAACCTAATACAAATACATATATGTACATGTTTCTTAAATGTCTCAACAGATGTCGTTGTTTATATGTTAACAAATACAGATCTAATGAAGCACGGATAATCACTGTTCCTAATTTCGTTTATATAAGGCCATGTCGTAATCCTATCAGACCGTAACAACTGGTAGCTAGTAATGAACCTACCGACCCAACCCACTCATTAATTTTTACTTAGTAATTATATTAAATGATGTCAGTACAAAGAACAAGTTCTAAACTTGGAAAATCTAGAATTTGAAAACAAACAGATAGAATAGTTAAGGTATTCTTATAAATTAGGGCATGTCCTTCCACTGTCGAATAAGTTTCTGCTAAATGACACATTTCTTACGTCAAATTATTTGCCAATTATGAAACTTAACAAGACGTGAATAAGGCTAATAGTCAAGAAACATCGATTGCAGAAGAAGACAGACTTAAATCGATTCCTAATTAAAAAGATGAGAATCAGGCATTTGATTAGAATACACAGAAAGGCGATAAAATTTTCACACTAGTGACAATACGTTGAAGGATAAGTGTTTTGATAACATGTCCTGACGTTAACACCATTCAATGACCATGTTTTTACAATCGGACTCTAATTATTATTACCGATTTCTAATTACATATTCAAACAACTCGAAGACTTGTTACGAGTATCAGTATAGGCATATTGTATGTAGTGCTAGTCATCGATCAATGTTTAAAGCGATAGGTTGATCTGAAGACGTTAAATTATGCACAGGTCTTACGTAAAGGCCTAAGGGCGATGCCCTTAGAAAGGGTTGGATACTTTGTAACTAACACAAGACACTATTATTCGCACTTAGACACAATACAAAATAACACCTACCAAATAGTGTTTCGTGATATAGATTGAACAATTAATTTCATGATCAAAACGATTTGAGTAATCGTATTATCAATCGAAATCCGATTTCTAGAAGATACGTACGTTGATTGTAATAAGACAAATTTCTACAAAACGTATTTGTTCGTAGAATAGAAATATTATTCGAATGTTGATGGATGTCGTTTTGATGAGGGTGTAAACCGAATTCTTTATGTATTGGTAAACAAGGCTTTTCAGTCTTATTAGACATAAAAAGTAGCAGTAGGTCTAGAGCTACATTAGCATGTAAAACAAAAACGGTTCCTTTTTTATTCTTTATACTTTGATTACCTACTTCATTTAAGAGCAAAATGTTGGAAAGTATTCGAAGGTTTTATTAGAGTCGTAATGGTGTGGATTCAGATTTGTTCTAATCAATATTAAAACCTAAGAAAGAGCGTTTACTTACGATAATTATAAGCAAAGACATTAAAAATAAAGATGATAATTTGACTAAGCATTAAAATAACTCAAAAGAAAAACCGTTCTAACAGTATAAACAAATATTTTGGGTAAATGCAAAATTGGTACTGTGGGACCCTTCATTTCCATTAAACGAATTTTCGAAGCGAAAACAAGTCCTAAACTAACATAAATTTAGACACCGCACCGTTTGGAGTTTCTCAGAACACTATTACCGAATTCTGTCTTGTTTGGAATGACAAAGAATGAACGCAAATAAATCGGATGCAGGCTCGTGAGTCACCGGCGAGGTCGCGGCTTGAGCCAAGCCTCGCCTCGCTTTCTATAAGTACAATGCCTTCGCAAAATGTTCCCTTATACACTTGATGACTAACATTTAGATAGCTTCGTTCTAGATTAATTATGTCGATAGGCAGACAGCCATTACGACCAATACTAGTTATTATTAACTAAAACATTCCATAACCACACAATGTGGATATTGTAAATCTATTGGCACTGAAATTTTCTAACATTGAAAGGGGGAAAACGCAGATTGAAATGAATTCCGATACTAGGTTCGGCCTTTGTACATGTTTGCACGTATCAAGATTTTTTGAAAAAACATTAGGGTTTTCTCCGGTGTCGTGGGGCACACACACAGACAATATCATAAACACATGACACCCAGACCCAGAACAACAATTTGTGGATCACACAAGAGTTGTTGCGTGCAGGAATCAAACCGATTATATCAAGAAAGTCGAATGGTCTTAAAATTGTTGGAAAAACCACGGGGCCGTAAATGCCAGTCAAGTTCCTAATGTAATTAAACCTAAAAAGTGATTTTAATTGACGAGTACGCGGACGATTTTCATAATAACATAGTCTGTGCGTTGGGGACACAAGAGGAATGAACAATAGCAACCTATTTCGTGACAACATAACGTGGGGACGCATTCACTAATGGATTTGCTTAACGCGAGGCGTGATGGGATAATAAAAAATAATAAATAATTCCTCGCGGATGCTCGTTGGCAGTTTAGTGGCGGATGCTTTTACCACGCCAGATATTAATACTTCTGTAAAAAGCCTTACGGAACCTTAATAAACGTTTTAGTAAATTGGGCCAAGGACGGAACAGGTAAGGCCTGTGTCTTTTATACTTTTTCTACAAATTCAGGGTCATTTTGGACAGGCACATTTTATGGTACGCACGCGTGTTTATGACACATAATTAGTTAAGTTAGTTGTAAAATTAATTGGTATTAAGATATTGGTTGCAAAAAGTCGTTGCTTTGCATACTAGAACTTTTATTGAAATAAAATCTAGGGTACTTGGTTTAGTAAAATAATTAAAACGAAACGAATAATGTGATTAATTAACATGATATTATTATCCTGATTAATCAATGACAAATAGCCAGCTCTGATTCTATGACCGACCAATGGTTTCGCAAGCTGATAGAACTATCGAAGTCACTGAACTAGGAGCAACGACACAGCAAGGTTGGGGTCAAAAGGGCCAGCAATTGAATTACAGTACCCGGCCGTAAACATTGCACATCGGCACATTTATATTAGAATAGTTCTAAAAAGACATAGACTTCCTTTAAGATGGATTGATTTCGATTTACTAAAATTACGAAACTGAAAACTTGTAGTGGAAATGCACAAATGGAATATTTCCTTTTAATAGCATAGTTCTGCAAAAAAGTAGTCTAGTCTAGTAGTGGATTACCTGGGGGTAAGCAATCAGCGCCGCCTATAGACACTCGTTATACCAAAGCAGTTATCACAAGTCCGTTGTCGGCCTCTTGTATGTTAGTATAGAGGATTTGAGGATTGAGGTTAGGGCGAGTGAAGGATTGGGTCACTATGATAATCTCACTCACACGGCGAAACACAACGTTGCTTCACGCCGGTTTTCTATGAGACCGTGGTATCACTCCGGTCTAGCCAGCCCAATCCTGCCGAAATGGCTCTTCCACACTTCTCCATAAAATACGCAAATACCCAATGGCCGGCGCTGTGCAATATTTATCGCCGGGCAGTGTAGTTGCTGCATCAGATGTACACTGGGAACAATTGCTCGCTTTGCTTGTTTGATTGTGACTTATTGTTTGTTATTGGTCACGATATTAACAAGCAAACATTACCTCACGTGTGATTTTCCCATTATATGTTGCAATTTCTTCTGGTCCGATGACTTCTGACAGGTTATAGTTAGCTAGCTTATAGTTTAACTAAATTACACGCTTTTTGATGGCCTTCTAAAGACAGTTTACAGTTTGACCTTTAAGTTTGTATATTATGTCTGCGATTAGCTGTACAATTTTTAATACGGTATTTGCTTTACTTAGAAGATGGGTAGATTTTTCTATACCGACTTAATCAAAGAAGGATGTTTTAGGTTTCATCCGTAAGTGTACCTATGTGTATTTGTTTGCGATTGGAACCAATTTTTATTGCAGTTTTTTATTTGAAAGAGTATTTATTTTACAAGACACTCGTTAGACTAAAATCTACCAGAATAACAGATTCCCGGAATTATCGAAGACAACCCTCAATTTTTTTTAATTGGGTTGTATTACATTTCTCATTTTTTTTATAAATTGTTGAAGTATTTTTTCGTCTAATAACCATCATCCCTTTGACTTAGATGACCTGATGATGGAAGGTGCAACAAACAAAATATTTTTAAATTAGTGTAGGTAGTAGGCACAAGTAGATCGATATTTAGGTACATATTTTTTCTCAGAGTCTATTAGGTTGACTTGGTAACACAAAGTTAATCTCATTAAGTTGATTATGGAGGATAAAACTTCTCAAAGGTAAGGAGTAGAAAGAAAATAGGTAAGTACTCACGGGAGGTATTAAAATTTGGAAATACAAATAAATGAAGAATATTTGAAATTCTAAGTTTGAACCGATAATACAAGCCAAAAATCTAAGTTAGGACTTATTATGGTGAAAAAGGTTTAGGTAAATTTTTTTGGATATAATTTCGAATTCATAAATTAAATTCATTCAATATATGTATTAACTTCGATAAAAATAACCAACTAAAACGAAAATGAACTAGCACGTAGCAAAACGAAAATCATAATTGTTAAGTTTTTTTTTAATATCAGCTGGTAGGTACTTAGGCGTAACTAAATATTAAAGAAGGTTAAATAATTTTGTTTCGGACTCCTGGCATTGACTTGCAACCTGCCAGTATGAAAGTGTAACTATCAAGTTCATATGAATATTAGTTTGATTTTTAATCGTTTTCATAATAAGGGTAGGTAATGGAAGCTAGTATTTATTTAAGTACACGTTATTTATTTTTTGTTCATTTTTAAACCTAGCAGCTACATAAAACATTGCTATTTGTACTTTTAATACAACTTGGAATTAATTACTAATATTATATCTAAACTAAATTATAAAGAGGTAAAATTTGTAAGTTTGTATGTAGGGGGTAATCTTTGGAACCGCTGGTCGGATTGCCAAAATTCTTTCACTGATAGTTAGCTACAATGTTCCTGAGTGCTATAGGCTATAAAACATCACGCTACGATCAAATGGAGCTGAGTAGCGGGTGAAACCGCGCGAGAGTAGCTAGTAGATTATAAATGTGAAATTTTGTGAAAATGTATGGATGAATGTTTGTTGTTCCTTTACGCAAAAACGGCTGGAATGATTTGGTTGAAATCTGGTATATAGATGGATTAATACATAGGCTACTTTTTACCAACATACCAAGCGGGCAAAGCGGTGGGCAGAAGACGTTATTTGTAATAATACTTTGAATTCAAAGAGACAATGTTTCCACTAACGTGTGCAATGTTGCAAATAAAATTCAACATAATAATATTATTGTTGAATATTCGCAATTGTACACCACTATTTGATACTCTGGCCGCGACGGCAAAATCCAAAACAATAGTTCCTAATCGTCGACATAATATAAAGAAAGGATTCATTAATTTTATTATTGTTGTTACCTTCCTGTTTTGTTATAGGTACTATACACTGTAACAAAACAATACGTGCTTTTATACATACATTTTTTTTTTATGTAATAGCTCGGCAAACGAGCATACGGATTACCTGATGGTAAGCAGTCAGCGCCGCCCATGGACACTCGCAACGGAGGAGTTACGAGTGCGTTGCCGACCTTTTAGGGATTAGGGATTTGGAGATTTAGGGATTGAGGAGGGATTGGGGAAGGGGAAGGATTGGGCCTCCGGTAACCTCACTCACACGGCGAAACACAACGCAGTGGTTATTTCAAGCCGGTTTTCTGTGAGGCCGTGGTATCACTCCGGTCGAGCCGACCCATTAGTGCCGAAGCATGGCTCTCCCACACATATATTGAGTTCTTTGTATTGTTGTAAAAGCATTCTTACAAGTTGTGTATTATAATTTTACCAAATCAAGAAAACACTTAAGAGTTGCTTGTCTATGACTAAAACCTAAATGTTTTTAATAAAGTTTTCAAACTCTCAAGCCAGTTTCATCCTTTCACTAGTCTATGGATTCAAGAATATCGACCTAATTTGAGTTCTGCATACCGAACCATTCGTGCATGGGCTATCTCGTGTATTTATGAACCACTTTGCATTAGATAATTCAGTAATGCATTTACCATCCAGCCTAACGGGCATAAACGCGGAATATGTTGCCTAACAACTGGCACAAGCAACAGCTAAACAAATTACGTAGTTATCATGTAAGAGATTAACATACAAAATTATGACTTAACCCAGAAAATAGGGTTTGTCGTAATATAATAGTTATAGCAGAGGGACGCGTGGGCAACCGCTAACATGCATAATTGATGCGACGCACTGAAGGCTCTTGCGAAGATAACCTCTGTCGTTTGATACAAAAGAATAGGCGACACGTCCCTACGTGGGTGTTATTTAAGGCAATACATAATGATAACGATAACGTATATTAACGATAACTTGCCGACACCCACTTCATCGCACGAGATTGCTGATAATATGGTGCTGAGATCACCCGGCTAGCCCACGAAATGTACCTAATTGTTGCATTCTCATGAGGTCGTTCATTGTTTAAATGAATGAGGATACAAGAGGGGCTTGTTCAGAGTTGTATGTACTTACTTTATATTCATCGAATTTGAGCACAAATTCCAATATTTCTGCGAACTGTTTGACGAGAGCTTGCTGTTGTTCAAGGTGTTGCGTGGGACTCATTGCCCCGCCCACGAGCGAGCCCAGCAACCGTGGGACTACCTGTCGACAAAATAAAAAAAACTTATTATTTTTTTCAATATTCATCATAAAAGCAAGGGTGGAAGGTTACAAGTTAATCAAAATAAGTACCCTCATCCAAAAAGTAGATAATGGGTATCATTAGAATCCCAACTTAATTTTATTAAGGTTAGTTTTATAGACAGACTAGTATAAAAATAATTCTTTTATTGAAATTTCAGTCATCCACCGTTTGCAGTCAAAGGATTTTTTTCAAATCTCCGTAAACACAGACGTAAAAAGGCGGAGATGTCCGTCGGCTTAGTTTTTCACTTGAAAATAAGAATGACAGAAAAGTGAACAACGCTCACTTCGCTCAGCCAGTTGTTATTGGGGGCGCTATTGTTGAGATGCTCGTTGAAAAATAACCTGGGTAAGGAAAATATTCGTGGTACATCTTCTACTTCATAAAACAAGAAAGGTCAGGTCTGGAAATACATGTTATATTCAGCTACACGATCATTTTGCCAAGACGTGTCTCAAGAGACTCGAACTGTTTCTTTATTCAAACAAACAACTAAAGATCCTACAGTAACTTTCTTAAGATTGATGTAATATTCAGAGAAATCTAAAGGTAAATTTATATTTGCTTTGTCAGTACTAAATGAGGAATCGGTTTAAAGTTCTAACGCTGTTACTTAGATCGTTGCTAATATCATCACATAAAATTGCAGTTACCTTCAATTAGTAACAGAACGTTTTTAAGGGTGGGATAGCCAAGCTTCAACACGAAGGGTTTCAGAGAAAATTGGCGTGAAACAACTACAGCGTTGTGTTTCGCAGTGTGAGTGAGGTTACCGGAGGTTTTTCCACCTCAGCCATCCCTTTACAATCCCTAAATATCCGAAACCCTTCGCACTCGTATCTCCTTTGGTGTTGCGGTTATGCATGGGCGGCGCTAACTGCTTACCATCAGGTAATCCGTCTGCTCGTTTGCCGATCTATACTATAAAAAAAGAACGTTAATTCCTATCAAAATATTTGTGTTAATATCAGAGCAAGACATTTGGCTTCGTGTGACACGGCACAGCACTACAAGCGAAACCGGAGCCATTGTGAATGGTTTTAAAACAATGTCAGGAAGCGATCGTTATTCAGTCGATTAGAGTGCGTCGTCGTTTATTGGTTCGGGAACGATTGCATCTAATTTTGTTATCATTTGCCCTGTTCCTGTTGTTTAAGCCGCATTATCAGCTAAATTATCGGCATTTCCCATTTACGACACTCTTCTTAGATAGTAAAAGTTTCACATTAATGTATTGCACTTAAATACTTTTGTATTCATTACAAAAATCTATACCAATGGTGAAGTACCAATATTTTTTTAAAGACTTAGTTTTTATTTTATTTTATGGGAAATGCAATAGGATTCTTTGGTATAAAATTGTTGGTAGGCGATTTATAAGAATGCTGTTGCAATTACATAAACATTAAGAAAAATTTGGTTCAACATGCGAAAAGTGCATGTCGATTATAAATCACATATTAGTCAGTCTCTAGAAAAACTTCGAATTCAGCTGGCAGATAAGTCAATAAAAAGTTAATATAGATGTTTTGATTTTGATACTTATAAATGGTAAGAACATTGATTAATTCCTTCCTCTCGTTAACTAATTGAATATGCTTTGTGGATAGTGTGTCAGAAATAATCAACATATCGGTTGACGTACTTTGAAGTGTAGGTAATTAAAGTTTATTCTTGGACATCACGCCATGAATGAGTAAAAGACATTTGATTAATTAAAAGGCTAGTGTCCTACCTATTTATATGACTTCTAATACATATAAATCACTTCTGTTAATAAAGTAGGGAAAAGGTGTAATATGAAAATTAGTATACAAAAAGGTAGAACCGCCAACTTCACCATTAGATTTCCGTCACGCGAATAAAACATAACTCGAGGATTTATTTTAGAGATAAAGTCGTATGTTTTCAATTAAACTTGAAAATAGTGTGACCTCAACCTTTTTACAGTGCCTACATCGTTATGCTTTTATTTATTTCTATGCTAACAATGTTTTTTTTATGTAATAGGTCGGCAAACGAGCCGACGGATTACCTGATGGTAAGCAATCAGCGCCGTCCATGGACACCCGCAGCGGAGGAGTGACGAGTGAGGGAGAGAGATACGACTTTTAGGGATTAGGGTTTTGGAGATTAAGGGATTGGGGAGGGATCGGGGAAGGGGAAAGATTGGGCCTTTATGAATATTATACGTTAATTTTCATTTGTTTTTAGAACAACATTCACTCGTATATTACCAAAAAAAAAAGTTTGGTAGGACTTAGTGGCATAAACGGTAAAGCTCAACAGATGCCATATAAGGACAACGACAAATAAAGAGTAAAAAAACAAAATCATCTCTACTTAATCTATCTTTTATTTCATTGTGTACAAATCGGACAAGAGTGACACGGATTATGACACTCGTCATAATATTAGTCATATGCAAACAATTAAATACAGCGCAATCTGATTGAGAATTGAAATCAGCTTGACCTAGGAAATGACGTAGAATTGAATTCTGTTGACCTGGGCATGACGCATTCATTGCAATTCTGTTTAAATACAACGTTCAGTTAGAACATTTTATCGCAAAAGGGCGTGTCGTCGTCGCCACAAAAATAACTTGTAAATAAAAACTGACTTCCGAATGAACTTCACAAGTAGGTGCGCAAACGCATATATTAATTGGTGATTCATACAAATTAAAACGTGGTGAATCACGTGTGGAGAGGATGGTAAGTTTTTTTTTTATGATCCCACCAGACGGGATAATTCTGGGATTCGTCGAAGATGATGTAATACTGTAAATGGATATTTTAAAGCTGCGCACGCGTCGTATAGAGATCGAAACGGTCACGGGAAGCACAAATGATCCTTTATATCCGTCAAGGTTAGAGCCGCTGCAAAATTATTGTAACTGACAAGAAAATTGGTCATTGGCATAGATACGGTGGCAAACAATAAAAGATAAGATTACTTTGATGTTGGATGGATTTAGGGCATAACGAATGTCATCCAAAACTTGGCTTCACTTAACAGAAGTGACATCTATTTTTGTAAAAGGAGTTATTACTATACTTATATTATAAAGGGGTAAAATTTGTTAGTTTGTATGTAGAGGATTTCCTAAATTCTTTCAGTGGTCGATAGCTACAATGTTCCTGAATGCTATAGGCTAACTAAAACATCACCTTACGACTAAAAGGAGCGCAGCAGCGGGTGTAACAGCGCGGCAGAAGCCAATCAACTTGCTTATAACTTTTTTAAATCAGGAGGAATCTAGCAACGTCCTCATCGGTCGCTAATATATGCATAATTGCTTAGCGTACAAATTCTATCACCCATCTAAATTCCATTAAAACTTTGAAGACGATTTCAACTTAGAAAAGCAATTAATCTTTAATTCTTATGTACTAAATGTTTTAAGAGACAGATAAATACAAATAAATACATTATTTATATACGAATACGGTCGCTTTTCTTATAATACATTAACTTTTAATTATATTAGTTTCTTTTAACTGAAAAAGTTTTATTTCAATCGTATATTCTTGATTTCTGCGCAACGATAAATTATGTTGCATGAAAATTGAAGCACGCAACAAAGATTTTTTTACTGTCTAGTAGCACTAGGCTTTCTAGACTTACAGAGAGCCTAAGAAAATATTTATTTGGCTTTCCAACAGGAAAAACACAATACAAGCATATTCCTATGAAAAGCAGAATTTAAAATAACCTATGCTTTATAAGAAATCACATCATGCGTCGAATGCCATTTAATTAGAAGCGAAATATCGATTTAAACTTATCTTGTTTTAATTTTCAAGAAAAAAAATAACAACACATTTGAGAACTTTCAAAGAATTGCTGAACACACCCAGGACTTTGGATGTACCGGCAATACTTTTAAAATTGATACACAATCTTGAAGTCGAAGAGTCGACAAATGACAAGATCGCAGTTATAGTGTCGGACGTTAAAATGCAACGCCCACACCACATAGTACGCAGTAACAGTGTTAAATAAGATAGTCTAGTGATTACATTAACTGTTCACATTGCAGTACAAACGCACCATGTAGGTACAATTAAGTGCTCACGCGAGATCAGTACGGTAGTAATTAAATTAACACCATTTACCAACCAATTGCGAGATTTGAGCAATCAATTCTGCCAGATGGTTGGAATTAAAGCGAGAGCTAAGAGTGCGGGTGTCATTTAAACTATTTATGGGAGTATGTACAACTTTCCGCTTGTTTTACAACAAGATTCAAGGATAGAACATATTCTTTATTTAAAAACGTTTCGTTTCGTGCCTTGTGTGCTATGAGCACATCCAATTTCATCGGGAGTATTGTTCATCGTATCATAGGTTTCTCGTGTCGAATTTGTATCCAAAAAGAACCCTCTGTATGTTTTACTTTACTTCTTAAGCAGTCAATTAGGTTATGTTGACCACAAAATACATCTAAGTATCAATTTATATTTATAAAAACGAATGACAAAATGTGTTTGTAAGCGCATTACTCAGCAACGCCTGGGCTAATTTTGACAATTCTTTTTTTGTTGTTTATTATTGTCAGGAGAAGGTTCTTATCAAAGAAAATATTAGAAAAGTAAACGGGAAAATGACCCTTTCGTTGTTAGCGAGATAGTTGGACCCGGGCAAAGCAGGATCGGCTAATGTTTATTTAAAACATTAGTAAAGTACTTGTTATATAAAGATCATTTAGCTTCTGTTCAATTTTTTCAATTCAAATTAATGTAACTGCTGCCGAGGGTGCTAATTAATATTCCGCTATTTCATGCTTTCTGCAAATCAATGTGATGGTCTTATTTTTATGTATTTATTATTAAATAAATACTAAGTTATATATAACACCAAGCAAACAGAAAGTATGCATTCTTATATCCGAGTGCAACGTACTCCATGCACCATTAACTTTGGTTCCACATCACGATCATCTGTCTCGTGG